CGACAGAAGTGCCCTATACCAGACCCTGTCGAAGGCCTTCGCGATATCGAGGCTCACAGCAAGAGCCTCGCCCTTACACTCCAAGGCTTCAGCCCACCTGTGAGTAAGTTATACAAGAAGATCGCCGGCTGAGCGACCGTTACGGAAACCGTATTGTCGGTCACTGATCAGCTGGCGATCCTCAAGATACTTCAGGAGTTGTGTATTTATTATTCGCTCCATCACCTTGGAAAGCAAGGAAGTGATCGCGATAGGCCTATAGCTCGATGGGTCCGACTGGTCACCCTTCTTGGGGATAGGGTGGACGTGGGCGGTCTTCCATTAAGACGGAACCCTGTTAGTACCTACCATACGAGAGGCGATACAAACGCGTTAGCGCAGGTGTTAACTTAGTGACACACGTTTTCAAAACCACTGCAGGGATGCAATCTGGCCCACTGGATTTACGGACGTCCAGGGCCTGCACTGACTGCACACTGTGTAAAGCAGATCTCAGGCTATCACACCAGGGATGTTGGGTGGTTTTTTTTATGTTTGAAAGATTACTGGTGGCCCGAAGGCCTTTCCAGTTCCACCAGGACAGGTGGGCGAGCAAAGGCTCAGCCAGGAGGGGTGGGATTTCCTAACAACTGCCCGAGCGCCTCCGAAGGAGACCTAATAACTCAAGAGCAATTGCTTCGCGAATGAATCTACTACCGGATCGGAATCGCGACTCGCTGAGAAGATCCGGCGAGAAACTCAGCGGGCTGATGCATGGGTTAGGTTGCACGTCGACCTCTTTGTCGAGTTCGACGAATACGGTTACCGGGGTCCCTAAGCCTGCTCCTAGTATTAAAGCTGAAGGCGTCTAATGCACAGGTTATTGGATCTGATGGATTCGTAAGGACGTGTCTAGGGCGTCGACGGTGACTGGCTCCTGCATGATCAGGATTAGGGGAGTAGTCAGCGGCGGCAACGATAAGGCGATTATCATGACGCATAGCCTTATCGAAGTACCGTTCCGACATTGACTTCATGTATTTTCGAATTGATTCGAGGCCCCGGTCGTCGTGTAGGTCAACGTTCCTCACGAACCACGGAGCCCCGACAGCTAACCTGCAAAAGCGGGATTGTAGGGATTGGAGGGTGTCTATGTGTGTGCGGGCCGCGTGAACGAAAACCACACTCGCGTAAGTCATGACCGGCCTTATGCAAGTTTTATAAAGTGTCACCTTGTTCCGAAGGGACATTTTACTCCGCTTACAGATCATGGGGTAAAGTTAACCGAGAATAAACGCAGAACGGTCGCGGACTGATTTTATATGCGGGCGGAATGTCATCGATGCATCCAGGGTAACGCCTTGACCTTTCTGGCCCAGGGTATGGGTTGTCTAACGAGAGTAATCGGCGGTATGACATGCTTCTTCCTAATCCGGGTGGAGCTTCCTCTCCGAAATAACACCGCAGTACTTTTCGCTGGGTTGATGTCTATGCGCCATTTTCGGAACCACTGTCCTAGGGCTACGGTTACGCTCTGACGCTTCTTCGCGATTAGGGACTTGTTTCTACTCGAATAGCAAGCAGTCGTGTCGTCGGCGAATAGAGCTAACTGGGTCGACGGCGACCGGAATATCGTTGACAAATAAGCTAAATAGGAGGGGCGAATTGGGTGGTGTGGCACCCTCGTCATCCATAGTGAAGTTCGAGGGGAAGAGTTTGACCAGGTCAGCCCAGCCTTCTCTTTCGCAATGTGGGCCAGACTATCATTGAACATACGTAATGGTGGCAGACAAGACCTGCAGAAGTTGCTTTCTGCAGCCTTAACCAGCGACTAGAAAGCACGGCTCCCAGAGCCTTAGGAGAGGATAGCCTTTCAGTCGCTTACCAATTCTGGCAACGTGCTCAGATTTCGCCTTGGCAATAGTCCTCTTATAGGACCTAGAGGTGGCGTTATTTATGTTTGTGTGCTTAGTTTTATCCGTGAGTGAACTATGCGGTGGTACTATGTTACTTATTTCTTTTGACAAAACTGAACTATTATGAAAAATTGCCTAAATTGGGAGTTGCATTAAGATTATTGCATTGCATTAAGATGATATTCACGAACTGCACTATAATGAATCTAAAAAAATCCTCATGGGTAGACGTAGGTGTATTACATTTTGAATTAAATAGTGTGTTTAATATTTGCGAATGTCTGAAGTATGTACTTACATCAGTATTCAATGTGCAATTCGCGCTGTTTTCAAGATTATTTTCGTCAGAAATTTCTGTTGCCACCTGTACTTGCAGATTTAGTTATGTTTAAGACCTTGAGTTTAAATAATTTCTTTGTTAAGATTGTGACAGGAAGCGGCTAGCACACTGCCATGTTAAAAATTATATCCAAATACCTACTTTATTATTAATAATCTTATAAATAATTATTTATTATAATTTAGTATAATCATCAAGTTTTGGTAATGAGAAAACGAAAGAAACTTTTTATGACTATTCGATTCTTGATTTTCGCTATATTAGTTATTTAAATATGATTTTTGTTATCTTAAGAATCAAAATCTGAAATAAGGTGTCAACGGTGACCCTAGCAATCTACAAAGTTTCAGTGTCACAGGAATTTGAGGGTGATTTAATTCTTCTACACAAGAAATCTTAGTGCATAAATAATGACAAGAATATTATAATGCCGGCTAATACTATGCGATATCTTGCAAAAAATAATATAATTCGTTTCTCGTTTGCTTTTTATCCATTTTGATTATAAACAAGTAAACCTAGATGAACCTAGCTTGATAATTACAGTCACATTCATCAGGTGTATGATGATCCTAAATGGTATAATTGCAAATTTGACACCAAAATTTTTTTTTACCTAATGCTCTAATACAATTTCTGTTCATGCTTGTTACAAAATGTAACGGGCTCTGTGTATGTATGATACTATGAACGCTACCTATCATTAGTTGAAACATTTATTCATTCTTACAAAATGAGTGACCTTCAAGGGTCAAATTAGTTCGTGTTTTATACATCAAACAAAATCTTTTTTAGTTAAAAATTTATCAATGTCAATGTATTGACCGCGATACCGCAATAATTACTAGTACTACTATTAATAAGTGGGTTACACGACACGCACCTTACAATAAGTAAATATTTTGAAATTTGAATCCGAGTCGGCAACGTCACATTGTTAAGCGAAATTTCGAGCTGGCTGGCGACGCCAAATCATCGGTATGGTAAAAGCCAATATACAGCGCTACGTATACACACCCTCTGGCGGCACCGCTCGACACTGCGATATGCTTTTTCAAACGTTTCTGAGGCAATTTGGTGACCATCTCAAAAATTGATATAGTAACCATAACTCCATCTACAGTTGATTGGTGTTAAAAANAAATATATATATATATATATATATATATATATATATATATATATATATATATATATATATATTAATATACATGAATTGCTCGTTTAAAGGTATAAGATAAAACGCTTTAGAGAAGGAAAAACCTTTATTCCTGAACTATGCAATTGATTTAACAAAAGCCGATCTCGCAAACATCTCAAGTAAAATGATAAGGAAAAAAAATCATGACTTGTTGTTTGTACATTAAAACGACCTTCGCTATGTACTCAACGATGTCATCGTTTCAATGTTATTTAAGATCATATCGATAAAATTCAATTTATTTGCTGAACTTTACATAGACGTTAGCACAGTACACGGATTGCCCATTATTGTTATGCGGATTTATTATACTGCTGAGCCAAAAAATAACACTTAAAAAATTATAGTTGTAAAAAAAAACATTTTTTGGCCTATCAAAAATTATGCTAGGACATTCTTAAAAGCAAATCAACCCTTTTATATAAGATGTGATTAAAATAACTTTTACGATTTAATCTCGCAAGGTCGTCGTGGCCTGAAAGATAAGACGTCCGGTGCATTCGTATCTTGCGATGCACCGGTGTTCGAATACCGCAGGCGGGTACCAATTTTTTAAATGAAATACGTATTTAACAAATATTTACGATTGACTTCTATGGTGAAGGAATAACATCGTGGTCTCAGTTTTAACAGTACTACGGCTGCCTCACCCTTCAAACCGAAACGCATTACTGCTTCACGGCAGAAATAGGCGGGGCGGTGGTACCTACCCGTGCGGACTCACAAGAGGTCCTACCACCAGTACAAGACTATAATTAATTGAAATTAAAAGTTTGAATATTATTATGGTTCTAGTTACAGATTTCGCCAAAACCACACCATAGACAAATAATATTTAAGATAAACAATATTAACCTATTCTCAATTTAACCGCAGACTTCAAGCAATAACAATAGTTTGACAATAAACAAAGAGTATATAATTATATGCGTGTGTGTCAAATACATGGTAGTGTGTGTAATGTATTTTTTAGGCATAATTTAAAAAAATATTAGCATTGTGCACTTCTTCTCTATATTCTCTATTAGTGTGGGAAATTTCATACTCCTCCGTCGGCGCAATTTTCGTAAAAAGGGATACAAATTTTTTCCTTCACGTATTAATTTTATACTAGTGGCCCCGCAGTAGTCGAAATTCGACTATAATTAATTGAAATTATAAGTTTAAACATTATTATAGTCTATTCTATTATCAACCACTTTTATAATTCGATAATATAATCACAGTATTCGCCAAAACTGCACTATAGATCAATAATATTAATCTATTTTCAATTCGACCACAGACTTAAACAATAACACAAGTTTCCCAATTGACAGTAAACAAAGAGTATATTTTGATGTATGTATTGTGTCAAATATATGGTAGTGTGTGTAATGTTTTCTTTATTGATTTAAAGTATCTTTTATGCATTATTTTAAAAAAATATTAGCATTGTGCACTCCTTCTCTATATTCTCTATAAGTGTGGAAAATTTCATACTCCTCCGTCCGCGCAGTTTTTGTAAAAAGGGATACAAAGTTTTTGCTTCACGTATTAATATATAGATATATCTCTATTCCAGCGCGCTCGTATACGTCGAGTGAAGCTTTGGGCACGAGACTTCACGGGTCTCGGTTTCCGCTGTGGAGGAGGCGCCAGAGATGGAGTCCACGTTCACTCAGTGCTCAGGAGTGGGCCTGCCGCCGCGGCTAAGTTACAACCAGGTAATATGACCTAGACCTAATAGACATAAGGCACATAATTGCTTCCAAGAGCTTTTTTTTTTTTTTATTGCTTAGATAAGACGTCCGGTGCATTCGCATCTAGCGATGCAACGGTGTTCGAATCCCGCAGGCGGGTACCAAATTTTTCTAATGAAATACGTACTCAACAAATGTTCACGATTGACTTCCACGGTGAAGGAATAACATCGTGTAATAAAAATCAAACCCGCAAAACTATAATATGTGTATATACTAATGGTAGAACCTCTTGTGAGTCCGCACGGGTAGGTACCACCACCCTGCGTATTTCTGCCGTGAAGCAGTAATGCGTTTCGGTTTGAAGGGCGAGGCAGCCGTTGTAACTATACTGAGACCTTAGAACTTATATCTCAAGGTGGGTGGCGCATTTACGTTGTAGTTGTCTATGGGCTCCAGTAACCAATTAACACCAGGTGCTCTGTGAGCTCGTCCACCCATCTAAGCAATAAAAAAAAATTAATGCTGGTGTCCAAAATCGTCTTAATCTTATCGGACTAGCGCATAGGACTACGCCCCCTAAATCTCTGTCCTTCTACTTTGCCGGTGAAGAGTAGTCTTTTGAGATTTGATAGCTTTATGAGTAAGAAGCTCTTATTATGTTTACAGGCGACAAAATAAAAAGCATCAAAATACAATTGATGGGGACTCCGTTAGAGGACGCTGTCAGCATTTTGTCTCTCGCGTCTCCATACCCTGTGGAGTTGGAGGTGGTGGAAGGTGGCAGAGCGAGCGGGGACGGCAGGACGGTACATCATCCGCTGCTGAAGAGGGCCGGCTCGACTGGAGACGTTACCACGGTAGATCAGATGTTTTATTATTGGTGTATAACATTGGTGGTAGGACCTCTTGTGAGTCCGTACGGGTGGGTACCACCACCCGGCCTATTGCTGCCGTGAAGCAGTAATGCGTCTCGGTTTGAAGGGTAGCCGTTGTAATTATACTGAGACCTTAGAACTTATATCTCAAGGTGGGCGGCGAATTTACGTTGTAGATGTCTATGGGCTGCAGTAACCACTTAACACCAGGTGGGCTGTGAGCTCCTCCACCCATCTAAGCAATAATTAATAATAATAATACGATAATTTAATATCGGGCTCATCTAGTTACTGTCTCACTTGCACTTACCTTGCTTGATTCGGTTATCTCTGGGACGAAAAGAAAAAACAAACACCGCTATAAAAATTATTAAAAAAATATCGGAGTCGATAAAAACTCAAAGACTTATCGGCGATATACCGATATCGTGTCGCAATGTGAAAAAAAAGTCTAGACTTTTTTTATATTATTATCTTTTTATATTGTTATCGGTCTGTCTACATCGGACCGTTATCGTATCGTAGAATCAAAAGAGAATATCTAAATATCCACAACGCTCACATTCCAACATCACAAACTATTGTTTAACTTCAAACACAATGGGCCAATGAGCATTCCATAACCTACCTTCATTGTATTACAAACACGCATTCATCCAACAACGAAACGTCTTAACTAACATTCGGTGTACGCGAAACACTTTCTTAATTCCTAGTAATAAATAAAGTCGAAATTCGCTTGTTAGTGAACATGAAATTAAGTCGTTATTTTTTCAAATGTCAACATACACAATAAAAAGATCTTCGATTGCTAATCACCTACAAGTCACCTGAGGTCTGGTGCCATTGGCTAGCGATGACTAATAATTTCGATATTAAAATAATTAGTATTCTCATAAACAGTACGATCGATGTGTATTGTTTTATTCATGTAATTATATGTTTCAATAGAAATGCTTTAATACGGACATCACGTATAAGTTAGATAAAATTGTTATTTTTTATTATGACAAAAAAAATACACATTCAAAAGGTCACTGACCGTTTACAAAAATAAGATATACAGGAATATCTTCACCGGCTCCGTTTATGGATGGGGTGAACACAAATGCTTATTTAAATTTCCACACGTGTTGAAATTCTGTGACATCTTGAGGCAAACTGGCTCACAGCCCAAAGACACCTCAACATAAATGCTATTTTGAGACATTAAACGTTAACTCAAAGTCATTAAACGTTACATTCCTTCTCACAATTGTTAACTCGCATTTGTATGGAGTTTCTAGAGTGTATTGAAGTCTCAAATGCATTGGAATAACAGTAACTATATCCTTCAAATCAGAATATGTGGAAACAATAACTATATCCTTCAAATCAGAATATGTGGTGGCAGCAATAGGCCACAGTGGTACCGACGCTTGTGGTCTCACAGTACGCCGCGCTGCTAGCAAACACGTTCTATAAGTATCATTTATACTTTACTTTCTATTCCAGCTCGAGAAAGAAGGTAAGCTATTGCACCCTCCGAAGTCACCGAACACTTCGAATTCGAACAACTCAACACTGGAAACCAAATACGGGAAGAGCGGCATCAAGAAGATATCCGAGAAGATAATCACTTCGACCCTCGAGAGGAACAAGAAGGAGAAACGAGACGGTCTACCCACCACTTTGGAAAGGGAAAATGAGAAGAACAGCAAAATGGCCAAAAGTAGACATTCAGATGTCCCTAGTGGTCTCAGCAAGCCTGAGAGGAACAAAACGAGACACTCGACAGGAGCTGATGTCATAATGCCACCAGAAAACGGGACAAGTCAAATCGAACACGCAGAAATGCAGAAGAGAGATTACGACCCCAAAAGGGGAATGAAGTTCGGCATCAGAGTACTCCCGCCCAACGTGCCTGATGACGGAGTTTTGAGGCAGAAGAGCGTAGAAAACGGAAGCGCCACCGTCGAAAAGAGATCCGTCGATGAAATAGACAAACCCGAGCCGCCACGACCAGCGCCGACCGTACAAATCAAACACGAAAACGAAACCGAACACAAGAAGCCAGTCGTGGCTAAGAGAAGAGAGAAAATGGCGCCGCCCATACCCAACGCTAGAGTTAAAACGAACGAAACTGAGANGAGGCAGAAAAGCGTAGAAAACGGAAGCGCCACCGTCGAAAAGAGATCCGTCGATGAAATAGACAAACCCGAGCCGCCACGACCAGCGCCGACCGTACAAATCAAACACGAAAACGAAACCGAACACAAGAAGCCAGTCGTGGCTAAGAGAAGAGAGAAAATGGCGCCGCCCATACCCAACGCTAGAGTTAAAACGAACGAAACTGAGAGTATCAGCCACGAGACCACAGTGTCGGACGCGTCTCAAGCAAGCTTCGCTAGAAACGATCTAAACTCGAGCGGCATCAAACGCGACGAGAACGGAATCCCCCAGGAGATACCGCAGCAAATGCTCGACGCGGCCAAAGCGGCCAGAACCAACAGAAAGAGTTCCGTTGAAATATTAAACGAAAAAGAAAGACAAGATAACAGGAAAGAAAGGAAAAGCTCTGCAGAAACATCACACGACAAAGAGAAACATGAGCAACAGAGAGACGAGGCCCCTAAGCCTGCGAAAAAGTCAAAAGGAAAAGCCCCGTCTCCTCCGGACGCCGACAAAAACAAAACAGACGACAGTATCCTGGAACGATTGCAGAGAGTCAAGGATTTTCTTAAAAGCGAAAAGTACCATTCAAGCTTACTGAACGACTCTAGTGCGGACACGTCAGGTCGAGCGAGTGCCACACGGATCAACACTTCCACGCCGAAGGTCAACAAAACGAAAAGCACTAGCTCCACGCGTCTCGAAGACTCAATCAATTTCAGTCAAGACGACATTGACGATATAGTCTCGAAGCCATTCAAAAGGGAAAGCGACTCACTGAACAACTTCTTCGAGGATTCGAAGTCGAATCTCTCGTCCAACCAAGACGTCCATTCGGTCATTTCCTTGAACCAGAGCGACAAAAGCGAACGAGGCTCCACGACAATCGAACTAAACAACAGCGACATCACAATACACAGTTCTCCATTGAACGCGACAGTACAGTCCGGGTCCGGCGATACGTCTCTTTTGGATGAAAACGAGAGGAAGGCCGCTTCCCTGGGTGATTTATCCAGGTTCGATTTAAGAACGAACGCCGGTAAACCATCAACCGGTACATTGGAAAGGGCTCAAAGTCTAGACATAACTGCGGACGACACTGAGATAGCCGAGGCCACGATCTCGCCCAAAAAGAGAAAAGCTATGTCTGTGGTCGAAACAAACTTTTACGAAGCCAGCGGCGAAGACACGTTACCCGACACTCTTGACTCGGACAATGGAATCGTGATAAAACACAAAGAACCCAGATTGAGTTTGAACGTGAAAACGTCCGCCATGGAAGGCCTTAGCACATTCCAGCGGAATCGTCTCAAGAAAGCATCCGAATTCGGGAACTTGGAGGACGCTATCGTCAAAGGATCGAGCAGCTCTATAGAATCGGACAAGGTCGACGAAGATCACGACAAGAGAACCAAATCCGGACTGCGTATTGGAAGCGAACACGAGACATCCGATCACTTAGCCAAGAGAATCATGGACGAGAACATGAAAGTCCATTTGAAGCTTGTATCGGAATTCGCGAAGACCACTTCAGACGGTAGCACCCTAGCACCACCAGACAACGATCCGTCGACACAACCTAACCTTACGAAACTCGAAACGACACCGACCAAATACGATGAGAAAATAACGATGAACTACGACACAAATATACCGGACGACTTAAAAGTATCGCGTAGTTCGTACGCGAACAGCTTGGAGAGACCAAAGTCCGAGATGATGAAGAAACTGCTCGCCAAAAATCCTATACTCAACGTACACATCGACCAGAGCACGCAAAGAGAGGCTTCTACCAGTGCCGAAGTCCAAACGCCGATGACTGACGCTTCGAAATCCGCCATGCACCAACCCGACATAGTCAACTTCGATCTGAAACCCTCCGAAATGAAAACTAAAGATTACGAGGACTTCGTCAGCAACATCAGGGTCGGCTCGAACAATAGCAGCTTGAATAAGAAAATGGAAAGCTTCTCCACCGACTGGCGCGATTCAAAGGAGGGCAGCGATCTCGTCACATTCACCACAGACAGAACTCAAAACCTTGAAGACAAGACACGTAAGACGTACACAAAATCGATTGAAATCGGCGAACCGACAATGAGGGTAATGCCGCCTGATGTCTTGGAAGGGATCCGGAGAAGGCACGACGAGAAAGAGAACCGGACGCTTTACATGGAACCGGGCAACGTATCCCTGACAATGACACAAGAACCGACCCAAAAAACCGTCACAGTCAATGTAGCCGAAGACGAATTCGGGAACAAAGTCATAACGCGAAACGTCGAACAAATATCCACTAAATACGTCACCGCGAAAACTGAAGCACCTCTTCAAGTCGAACAGTTCAGTTTTGGCATCATGAGAAACGCCGGTCCAACAGACGAACTGGCTCTAGTGGACGGCAACGTTAAGAATATCGATAAGAACGTACTAGACGAAATAAGACGGCAGAATCCGAATATGCATTTCGCATCGGACGAACCTTCGTACACCAAAACGGAGACAATAATTCTGAGCACTTCAGACATGGACGAGGGCCAAGCGAGGGCGTTGATGGAGAAAATGAAGAATGACCCTAGTTTCGTGACGCGCAAAACGCCAGAGGAACCGTCGCGATTAGGTGTCAGGATAACGCAGGATCTGGAAGACGTACAAACGTTCACTGAAGATGCAACCGAACTCACCAAGACCAGATACTCCATCCGCCCAGCATCAGCGTCCGACGAACAATGCAAATTAGAATCTCACGACGACGCGCACGTAACCGAGATAGAAGTGGTCGCAACGCGCGCCGACAGAAACGTTAAAGAGAAACCGGATAAGATACACAGCAGACAAAGGGTTCCATATCGAGAACCGGTTCTATCATACGAACTTGACATCGAGCTGTTGAGCAATTTTATATCGAACGAGAGATACCACTCGGCGAGACAGATGGCGGAGGTCAAGAAAACCAAAACGACNGCGCACGTAACCGAGATAGAAGTGGTCGCAACGCGCGCCGACAGAAACGTTAAAGAGAAACCGGATAAGATACACAGCAGACAAAGGGTTCCATATCGAGAACCGGTTCTATCATACGAACTTGACATCGAGCTGTTGAGCAATTTTATATCGAACGAGAGATACCACTCGGCGAGACAGATGGCGGAGGTCAAGAAAACCAAAACGACTGCCTCAGATCCAAAGAAACGCCACTCCGACTATGACTTGCCCAGAAACAGCCACATCAAGTTCAGAACGGCGACGTACGAATCTCCGAAGGGCACGATAGTGACGAGCACGGATCTGGAAAACCGGAGACTATCGGAGCTAGATCAGATGCAGCTGAGATCGGTCAGTCCGCCCCAAAAACCGGTGTTGCTCGCGAAACCGAGCAGCATACCGGTGAAGGCAACCGAGAAAACCGCCAAAACCGGCGTCTCGTCGAAGATCCCGATCGTCTCGGCGCTTAAGTCCTCCAGCCAGGAGAACTTGGCTGAGAGTAGATTCTCTTTGCCGCGATCCCCCCCTCCCCAATACGGGAGCTCCGGTAACATATCTGTAACCTCGATCAAGAGCAGCTCTAGAAGTCCGAGCGGCGGGAAGTTTTAAATCAAAACATGGTCACACTGTTGAGAATGGGAATTTGTTCGTTCAAGTAATTTTGAACCTTATACCAACAACATGAAGTAGGTTTCATGTGTTTATGAAATGTATAATACATACATTTAAAAAAAAACTCGTAGGGACTTATAAGGAAAAAAACGCTGTGACACAACTGAAGTGCCAGTAAAATGAATATTGTTAATAAAAAAATATATAATATGTAAACTAAAAAAGTGCCTTTCGAAAATAATAATTATCATTAAAATTTAAGTTTCGATATTTTATGTGTATATAACCGTCTCGCTCAGACTTTACTAAGCGTGAGCAGGACGGAAAGATTAACATTCGGTTGTGAAGTTTCATAGTGTTGTCACAATGTAATATTCTAAAGAGATTAAATGTATACATAAATATATACTATATATATAAAACTATTTTATCAATTATGAATGATATCTTAACATTATATTACATTCCGTCCGAAGAGTATTAAAATTAAAAAAAAAAATCATGAATTATTTATCTTTTGACATATACACATATAAGCTATGTTCCAATATACACTGCGAGCATTGTTGTTGTACTCTCACTGGGGAGAAATAGGTTCCGTTGTGTACTGACAGTATAGCTACGGTATCGTAGGGTAATAGTGACGTCATACATAAGTCGCCGCCATTTTTCTATTGTGAACACTGCAGGTGTTTTCGAAGTGAAGTTCAGTGCTTTATTCCCGTGATCACTGTTACAGTGCTTAACGACATTTCAATAATTCGGTTATTAAAAACATATTTTTTTTTAAAAACATTACTTTATTGAAGTATAATAGACTATGACAATAGAACCATAATAATATGTCCAAACTTATAACTACAATTAATTATAGTTGAATTTCGACTACAGAGTGACCACTAGTTCCGTTTTAAATAGTGACCCATTTAGCTGACTATAAAGGAATCGCTTCGGAGTATACTAAATTGAAATCACACCTTACAGTGCTCGCAGTGCAAATCGGAACATAGCCTTAATATTAAAGACGAGAATACGGACTTTTCGTTTAAAAACAAACAAACAAACAAATAATTTCGTGTCTTCACGAATTCGGGTCCACGTACTTAACTAGAAATAAGTAAAGTTAACATTATATTTATTAACCGTTATAAAAATAAAATTTTACCATAACATGTTTTATCACAGTTAATTAGGTACATATTGTATTTTATTGATCGATATAAGTTAATAAAGATGAAATGTTAAAAAAAAAAACGAAAAGCCTTTTCTTTTTATTTGTAAACTTTTGACGTGACAACGTCTTATAATTAATTCGATGGAGCCGGCTGCACGCACGAAAAAACATGACTCATGCGGCGTTACCTCTCTCTGAGGCGTTCCATTTAAGGCTTGCAGTGCAAGCGAGAACGCGCCACGAGCGACAAAGAGGCACAATCGGCCTCCGCGTTCGGCAGCGTTCGACAGTGTCTCTCTCCTACTTGAGTGAGCGATGCATCCGCGTGGACAGCTGCTATACAATAATACATTTACATGTTTTCGTCAAGTATGAAGTTCAGTGAAAAGTGAATGTGGTGTCAATTGTTTATAGCAACGATAATTGTGATAATTGAAAAATGAAACCATTTCATCAATATTTTCTTATGACGTTGTCACGTTCAACTATCGTCAGTAAACCGNATTTCATCAATATTTTCTTATGACGTTGTCACGTTCAACTATCGTCAGTAAACCGATTTTTTCGTGTGCTTTTGAAGCTTACGGGCGGACAGTTGCGCTTTGCCGAGCTTCCAGGATAGGTGTCTGGGTGCGCAGAGAACTGAAAAGGGTACCGGTGTGGTTGGAACTCCAGCCTTAGTTCGGTGTAGTATTTACCTCTAGCTTTTTTTTTCTACCTTATCTGGTAGCCTTGAGAGGCCATGCCAGCTCACGGGGCTCTAACCAGAGGAGGTCCCTCTCGTGATCACAACACGAGTCTATATTACTGGTGGTAGGACCTCTTGTGAGTCTGCACGGGTAGATACCACCACCCCGCCCATTTCTGCCGTGAAGCAGTAATGCGTTTCGGTTTGAACGGTGGGGCAGCCGTTGTAGTAGTAGTTGTGGTGGCAGTTGGAAGATGCGTGCCCAAAGGCCTGGCAACAATGACATTGCGCAGGCCCTCGACCTGAACGCCATCCCTCCACTGACACCCCCGGCAAGTGCAGCAGCTCTTCAATTGCGTACAAGCGGGTGAAGTCGAGGACCTTGGAGAGGTGGTCCAAGGCCACGAAGAAAACGCATTTTTTTATTGCTTGCTTAGGTGGGTGGACGAGCTCACAGCCCACCTGATGTTGAGTGGTTACCGGAGCCCATAGACGTCTACAACGTCGCCATCCACCTTGAGATAAAGTTCTAGTTGAGGCCTCAAGTATAGTTACAACGGCTGCCCCACCCTTCAAACCGAAACGCATTACCGCTTCACGGCAGAACGGCAGGGTGGTACCATGCGAACACACAAGAGGTAATACCACCAATCGCCACGAGGCGACGTTGTCGGGAAATCGTTATATGATGCACGCCAAAAAAAAGACAGTAATCTTAGAGTTATATATTAATCGAATCTGCTATTACATTCGCTCTTACAATTCGATTTAAAGGTTTTCTTAAACTTTTTACTGCAAGTCAATTCGTGGCATGTGTCCTTCAGAGCGCGCTTACACGCTTTCCTGCAGGTCCTTCTAGATTTTTTAGAGGCACAACTCCAAGGACTTCTGAGTACACCCTTACGAAGTGGAAAACGGCTCGTGTCTACAGAATATCGACCTTCTGTTACATAATCATAAGGAATTAAATACGTTGATATCTCAGCTAAAGAATCGTGCACGAAATCCGGTTCTAATTCATACTTTTCATCGAATAGTTGATTCAGAAGATCTATAGTCTTCGTTCTTTTGTATATTTCTCCCAAAGCGAGCTGCTTCTGTAACAAATGAATGAGAAAATAAAATAGGCGTTTTAAGCAGTTTGTAGAGGCTTAAAATTTTTTACATGACGTAAAAATAAACAAAAAATCGTAAAAACTAAACAATAGAAAATCAATTTTAATAAATTTGAATTAAAAATAGTGTAAGATAAACTGATTTCATAGTAAAAAAAACGTGGGGTGCTTTTCAGGACATCAAAATAACCCTTCTACTTATATCTGTTCATAAAATATTTATAACTATTGATACCGTGCACCCCACGCTTTTTTTATAATAAAATGATTTTTTCTTACACTATTTCCAATAAAAATTTATTAAAATTTATTTTCTATTTTTAGTTGGATTTTCTATAAAAGCGTATTTTGTTAGTTTTTTTAAACTATTATTTATTACTTATCGATACTTTCAGAGGTTATCGCTTAGGTAATATTAACACTGATTGTTACCTAAAATAAATACATATAAAATACGTATTTATTATTAGATGCTAATAAACCAAATAAATAAAATACGTACAATAATAAATGACAAACCGTACAAGCGGCAAGCGTACAACGCGACGTTTGAATTTAAAAGCATTGTAATTTAACGCACTGTTGCAATCTTGTAACGTTTATAACAAAATAATGACGCACCTTTTCATTTTTCAATTAATACAAACATGTTTTATTTTTCACTTAAAACGTAAGCCTGTAATAGAATTGAAAACATAACTTTCTTTGAGACTTATGATTAGTACGTCTTGTTTTTTTTTTATTATTATGAAGGAATGATTACCGGAAGCCTTTCTAGTTTTACCAGGACAGGGGGGCGAGCATGGGCTCAATCAGGAGGGGTGGGACTTTTTAACAGCTACCCGAGCGGCTCTGAAGGAGATCTAACAGTTCAAAAGCAGCTGCTTCGCGAATGAATCTACTACCGGATCGAAATCGCGACCCGCTGAGAAGATCCGGCGAGAAACTCAGCGGGCTGACGTATGGATGGTTCTCGCTAATGGACAGTACTCGGGACACGACCCAACGAGTGATCGCAATAGACTTCTTTCAAACATCGCTTGAGAGAGGAAGCACGCGACACGCAAGTAAGGGAGAGAAGGAAGCTCATTCCAGAACTGGGTAGTATGAGAAAAAAATGCTCACAGGAAATGAACTTTTCGAAATCTGCCAACCGTCCATAATAGTTCCCATCATCAGCCTCAACTAATTTACCTTCAATTCTACTAATTCCTTCCTTACACTGCTAACGTAGTCATCTTCCGTATTGTGCCTACGTTAGTACCATTCTCATTCTTATTTCCCACTTAGGTATATTTTATGTTACCAGAATTCTCAATAAAAATAATGTTTCGGCTTTGTTAACAATATGGGGCGTATGGTAGCGATTTTCTAGTGGGTTCATTGTATGGTAATAACATCTCGAACTTTCTCGAAAATTTTATCTTGCAGTCTTACGTCACATGATAATTGTGGAGTATGCTTAGTAACTTTGCGTACCTTAATTACGATTTGAATTTTTATTGTTTTAACATCTCGAACTCGTCCGTTGCTGTTATAATTATACCACAATATTTTGACGAAGTTTACCGGAGTTTTTCCAGTTACTTAGTATTTAGTTACATTAATATACGCAGAGTTACTATTTCCAGTGTTATCTGTATCAAAATTACGTACGAGAAAAGAACAACAGTTTGGCTGTAATTGCCAAGTATCTGTAACAAATGCTATAGTACAGTAGATAAGGGGGAATAGAGTAGGGACAAATCGGGGATATCACAATACTATTGTTGAGTTGTTAGATTTAAATTTGTTGAACTGAAAATGACTTATTTAGTGTTTAAGCATATTAAATATATTTTTTTTTAGACTTCTACAACGTAAATGCGCTACCCACCTTGAGATATAAGTAAGCTCTCGAGTATAGTTACAACGGCTGCCCCACCCTTCAAACCGAAACGCATTACTGCTTCACGGCAGAAATAGGCAGGGTGGTGGTACCTACCCGCGCGGACTGACAAGAGGCCCTACCACCCGTAAAAAAAGTTTAATTTAGTTATCAAAGTTTTGTAAGTTATTAAAGATATTAAAAAGTTAATTACCTAATGTTAAGTACCTAGCTAACAACTAAATAGTACCAGCCCTATCGAGAAACTATTGTCCCCATACGTAACCTGATTCATCCCTAAGCCAAGGTGAAGCGGGTTAAGCTAGTTTTTTCAGTTTTTATGTATATTTTGTAATGAACTAAGTATGTATAATAACGCAGCGTATATAAAAATTTAAGCTTCCGGAACCATTTTAATCTCAATTTTATTGGTACTACCCTAAGAAAAACCATTGAAAATTTGTGTTGGATTTGGAAAGGATCCCGATTCCCCCCAATCTACGGTATTCGGGGTGTTACAACAACACGCAAACGAAAAAAAAGGGTGCGTGTGTACTTATGTACGCGCGTAAGAATTTATACTTTATTTTTATTAAATTTATTTCTTTTTTTTTTTTTTTAAATTTTAATCAATTTGAAAAAAAATCGATTAAACAACATCCTCAAACACGCGTATTGGACATCCCTTTTCTTGACATCGTATAAATTCGGTAATTCTCGGTACGGTTCGGAAAGTTCACCTGCGGCTATATTCAGACTCGCCAAGTTACGTCGGTCGTATTGTAATGAACGATTTAGTGGGCAACTTCATTCTGTTAATTTTGTGTGACGGTGCGCGCGCATCGTAAAATTTCACTCTCATCAATTTATCATAACGCACCTAAAGAAGTATAACTTCAAAAACGAAAATGTAACATGTCCAATAAAGTAACTTCACAACGAAAACTACATTTAAATTTTATTCGCTATAAGAATCATCGCTGGAATATCCTTCACTATAATATTTATCGTATACAAATTTATTTCTGCACGTCTTTCTGCATTCCCTTCGGTAACGTCTTTTGACGCGTCTCGCGCACTTGTATGTGTAGCATACGTTTTTAAAGGCGCGGATACAGGCCCTCTTGCATCGCCTCGCCGCGTTTTTGCTGCAAGAATTACTCCACGTTCTCCTAGATTTGATCTGACCTTCACTTAAATTAAATCCTCCAGAAGTATCAGGGTGTGTCCTTCTATTTGGCGATAAATGCTGCAAGCATGTGAGAATAATTCAATCGCTAATCACTTTATGTTGTTGCTGGCTTGTAATATAATAGTTTTTTTTTTTTTATTGCTTAGATGGGTGGACGAGCTCACAGCCCACCTGGTGTTAAGTGGTTATTGGAGCCCATAGACATCGACAACATAAATGCGCCACCCACCTTGAGATATAAGTTATAAGGTCTCAGTTTAGTTACAACGGCTACCCAACCCTTCAAACCGAAACGCGTTACTGTTTCACGGCAGAAATAGGCAGGGCGGTGGTACCTACCCGTGCGGACTCACAAGAGGTTCTACCACCAGTGAAAACCAGTTGGATGTGGATTTCAATTGAATAAATGTAGATATACGCTCCTTCAGACTTGTGCCTGCTTCGAAAATACGTAATTAAATACCGGTAATGGCGTGGACCATACATGCCGTTTGGATGTCCAGAGATCGGGAAGAAAAATACCTAAAATTGGAGCGGGAAGAAAAAATGGCTACTTTGAACTGCATCTAGAGATTTCGATAGACAGTAAATGGGGTCTATGACTTGGTCTGAACTATGGCTAAGACTTGGACGCGAACAGCCCAAAACCTTTATTAAGGAAATAAATTGACATTGAATGGCTTAAGGTTCAATTATAATAAATGGCAACAGAAGGTAGTTTTTCTATTGGATTAGACTACAGAATTGAGAAAAATTAAGTATAGTGAAACCAGTCCAAAGAACACATCGTTCTGCAAAAAAGGATAGGCGGTATAAGACTGCGTGCGAACTCTCCCAAGCTGTAGACCGACTTCACAAGTCTTTAGTTAGAAATATCTTACTTAAAAGCGCGGTAGGATGAAACAAGGAAAACTAAGGACATAATAAGACACATTAAATCCGCGCCCTTCAATCACGACCATTCTATCAACAGTATAACGACTCAGAAGAAGAAGGTAACAAAACAGACACAAGATAAAAATACTCTTAAATAAGTTGTATGTTACGACAATTCATTTACGTCTCGACTTAATCTATATCTATACTAATATATAAATCTACAGTGGTTTTTACGGATGTTCCGTTATAACTACTGAACCGTGCATCCGATTGACTTGAAACTTGGTATCCATGTAGAAAATACATGTACTTAATGGATAGGCTTATATTTATATGAGTGTTGGACTCCCTACACCAGTTGCGGGGGCGTTGATGATGAGAATCTTTGTGGGGGTTAGAAAGAATAATGTTAATTTTAAATGCCCAACGAAGCGGACGGGTACAGCTAGTTAAATAGAAAAGCACTTGAAGATCCGCTCATTGGGAACTCACAGAACGAAATGTCTTATCAGCTCCTACGCCATTCGTGTCCGATAATTCTTCGTCCCCCACAGGGAGCCTTCCGTGCTTAACGTTGTAATCTTGTAGTTTCGTTTGCCTCTGAAGGTCCTGCCAGCGATGCTGGTTCTTCTGGAGTATTCCATTCAATAAAAAGGCGTATATCTCCCGATGTTTCTTACTTGGTATGCCGCTGTGTGATTTTATTGACTGAAATCAACGACTTACTTAAGGTATAGTGTATTCTTCGATTTTAGCGTTATGTAAACGTGGCATGGGCGTGGTATGGACATGTGATGCGTAGAAAGAAGATGCATGTGACTAGATGTATGGAAATTGTAGTGCAAGATAGAGGGGGAAGAGGTCGACCGAAGAAGACATGGATGGAGTGTGAATGACGATATGTGGAGTAAGCGTTGAGATGACGGCTGATAAAAGAGAATGAAATAGAAAAATTCGCTGTGCCGACTCCACCTAGTGGGATAAGGTGAAGAAAAAAAAGAAGAGGAAACACAATTAAAATTACTTTTACGGTTTTCATCTCGCGTATTTTGTTATTGTTATTAATTCCGACGTTTTAGAATACAGTTTTCGTACAGTACGTAAAGTTGTACGCTTGGAACGATTCACAACCACGAGCTTCTTATACACTTAAGGAAATTCAGCATTATCGTACAGTTTTTTTTTAAATTATAGATAATTTTATTGCATAATGAAGTAAAGATATCAATTAAGTTTTTAGTCTAGTTCAGTTTGATAGTTCACCAACGCAGACATGTTCTAGATCAGGTGTTCCCAAACTTATTTTGTCTACTGCCCACTTTGAGAACAAATTATTTTTTAGCATCCCCATTTTTTCACCTACTTAAAAACCACTATAGCGAGAGCTCAGTCGGTGTCTAAGAGCCCTCCTAGATGAAATCACAAATCGCCTTCCAACCCTCTACACAAGGCCCCAACTTTTTTTTTTTGGGTCTCTTACCGCCCCCCCTTAGGCCTGCCGTGCCCACAAGGGGCCGTTATCACCCACTTTGGGAAAGGCTGTTCTAGATTTAGTCACACTTTTTTTTCATAATTCAATTCATTCACAATCAATTTTTGTGTGTTACGTGTACTGTGTATGTAAATATTTATATATATATTTCTTCTGTGCGTGTGTTTGTCACTGAACTCCTCCTAAACGGCTGGACCGATTTGAATGATTTATTTTGTCATGCGTTTGGGTGGCACCCTGAATGGTTTAAATTCACAAATCAGCCCGGAGGAGGGCGCTGCAGTCGGTATCTAGGTTATTTATCTTTCCTAGAAATAATTTATATTATAAAACAACGTTTGCCGGGCCAGCTAGTATATGTATAGATATAGGTAAATTTACTACGATTATTACTAGGTAAGTTGTAATTAAAGGTATCTGTGAAGGTCTATCTACTTGGTTAGAAACATTTTAATCTGTGACAACACGTGCTCATGTTCCACTAAGATTTCGGTGAATACTCTAACCCATCGACAAGAAATGAATCCACCCTGAGAATAGTGTGCTTAGTGGGAGTTTTTTAACGTTCTCGATAGCGTAAAAGTTAGCTCATATTTGTATGGAATGGGATCGTTTGCCTACGTTTGCCGCTAGGGGCGCTGTTCCAACTGCATACAAAATTGGGTTAACTTTTAGGCTATCGTGAACGTTAAAAAACTCGCACCAAGCACATAGAGGTGTCACTTGTATTGTAATGGCTACCGATTTTCTTATCATTAGGAACGGATATTGTGATTGCAGTTTTCAGCAGAGGTCAGTGTGCTTAGTTCGAGTTTTTTAATGTTCTCGATAGCGTAAAAGTTAACTCACATTTGCATGGAGTTGGGACGTTTGCCTACGTTTGCCGCTAGGGGCGCTGTTCCAACTGCATACAAATTTGAGTTAACTTTTACGCTATCGAGAACGTTAAAAAACTCGCACTAAGCACACTGGAGGATAGTGGTGGATAATTGGTAGTTCATTCTCTCGCTTCACACCATAACACTAGTGTAAGCTGTGAATATCATTAGTACTTACGGTAAGAAAGAGTAAACTCATGAGAACGACACTGAAACAATATAATCTCATATCGTTTTGTCGGAATTCACATTTACAAGAAAAACTAACAAAGTTAATTAATTTTTTTTTATTAAAAACTACATTGGAAGTGAAATTGAATTTTTAATTTAATTATACTTTCATATTGATGCACGTTCTGTAGTTTATACGCATTTATTTATTTTAAAGTTTCTGACACCATAAAATTACCATAGATTCTTTTTGTAATACAGCAATAGTCTTTTTTTCCCTACCTATGCTGATAGCCTTGGGAGGCTATTTCAGCTTCTCCATAACGTGTAGGTGAGCTCACGGGGCTCAAACCGGAGTGTTGCCAACACCGGCCCTAGCAAGAGCGGTGATTCGCAGAATCTACCATCGGATCAGAAACGCGACCCACTGAGAAGATCCGGCGAGAAACTCAGTGGGCTGTGTCTGTGGGTTAATTCGCTCGTCGAGCCCTTCGTCGCAAGCGACAGGTTCGACGAGGACGGTGACCGCGCAATAGTCATAATATATATATGTTATTGCTTATATGAGTGGACGTGCGCACGGCCTGTGAGGCAATCTGATGTTAAGCGGTTACTGGAGCCCATAGACACCTACAACGTAAATGCCAGTAATTACGCAAATAATAATTTTGCGAATTTGATTTTTATTTCATGATGTATTGCTTCACCGTGGAAGTCAATCGTAAACATTTGTTAAGTGCGTATTAAAAAAATTTGGTACCCGCCTACAGGATTCGAACACCATTGCATCGTTAAATACGAATGCACTGGACGTCTTATCCTTTAGGCCATAACGACTATAACAACCAACGAATTGGATCTTTAATCTGTGATGTTGGAATTGTAGAAAAAAAAATGGCAGTTCCTTAAAAACCGGTTCCAGTAAAATAAGACATTTAGAAAATTAATGTTAGTTTTTGGTACACCCTGTATTAATTAGCCGAGTAGATGTAAATTGGAAGGCAAGTGAAATGTTTGTGCCAGACTTATGGTTTCATTATTCAGAATATACAGAATTATATATATTTTTATGTATATGTATTTATTTAAGTATGAGTATTTGTATCTATAAATATTATGTATGTTATATATACACATCCTCCTTGCGTCGGTTTCCTCATTACTGAGGGTCGTGGTCATGGCCTTGAAACAGTTTGTTTTTCATAGTGCACCGCCATCTGTTCCTATCTGCAGCTGAGTGCAGAGCATCGTGCACTGTGGTACCCAGGGCTGCACGAATCTGGTCCGTCCAACGGGTCGGGTTCCTGCCTCTTGGTCGCTTGCCCTCGACCTTTCCAGTGACCACCAATTTCGCCAAGTTGTCACATATGTTTAAGTAATATCACTATCACACTACACCTACCAAGGTTCATCTCTGCAACCCCCTAAGGTAGACTGTTAGAAAATGCCTATGGCATTAAGTCCGCCTTTAAACTGTTTAGTATATAAAGTTATAAATAAATAAATAAATAAATAAACATATATTCAGAATTATTCAGATTATTTAGAACATAGATAGGACAGCTGACAACTTGTAACAATAATTATAATTTGTCATTATTCATGAGTGTTAGAATTATTCTCATTTCATTTTTGAAATCGATTTCTTGGATTCAAGTCTTGATTATCTGTAGTACCGCTAATTGTGGGTGTTCATAGGTTGGCATTACAATCCTATCTGTTTATTCCTCGAAGCAATCACACTTTACCATCCGTGAGGAAATTTCCAGTATCTTTATTACTATCTATAAATACTCCAAGGCATTGCTTTACAAATACACTATATATTTTCTTTTAGAACTTATTTAGGTAATAATTCTTATGAACTAGGATAACATAACAATAAACTAAGTTGAGCTCTGTCTGTAATTCTTAGTGTCTAGAATCTTCTTTCCACACATGGCACATATACCCTTTTTGTATGCGCAAGCTTGGCAGTAATGTGATCCGACTTGGTGTACTTTCGTTCTGCAGATTCTGAAAAATAAAAGAATATATTTTAAAAACTTTTAATACATTTTACTGGTGGTATGGTTAGACCTAATAGACGCCTTTGAAATGTGGAGCTGGAGAAAAATGTTACAGATTCCATGGAATGCTTTTCTCACCAACGTGACTATTCTAAGAGAGCTTAATATCATAACTAGACTTTCCACTATATGCCTTCGTAGGATGCTGGAATTCTTCGGACATATTGCCCGTAAAGAGGGTCACAATCTAGAACAGCTGATGCTGACAGGAAAGGAAGATGGCAAATGTCCCAGAGGATGCAGTCCCACATGATGGTCGGACTAAATACAATCTTCTCTGAACATCAACTTCCACAGTGCCCTTCATGAAGCTAAGGAACGCAGCAGATGGAAGGAAATCGTACGGGAGAAACTGATGCAGCAGGGGAGTCACGACCCTCAGTAATGAGGAAAACGACGCGAGGAGGAGGTGGTATGGTGTAATGCACTGAAATAGGTTCCATAAACCTAGTTATTGCAACCGTAAATTTGTCCCATTTTCAAAGGAGAGCCATTTTTAAATTCGAATAAATCTTCAACTGTATCTCTTCAGATGACAAACAACGTACACATTACAATCATATTCTATGGCCCTATTAATCTACCCATGTAGTGTAATAAATAAATCACTCAAGAGAAGAAGGGATAACGAATATAAAAAAACATCCTTCAAACAGGTATCATAGACTAACTTTTATTGTGTTGTTATTTTACATTTTTTTTTATTGCCTTTGTAGACTGAAGATCATACGGCCCACCTGATGGTAAGTGGTCACCGTCGCTCATGGACGTCAGCAATGCCAGGGGCAGAGCCAAGCCGCTGCCTACCGTAAAGTACTCTCCGCAAGCCTCGTTTGAAGAAGGACATGTCATAGCGCTCGGAAAACACCGTGGAGGGTATTTCATTCCAAAGCGGGATGGTACGTGGCAAAAAAGATCTTTGAAAACGCACTATCGATGAACGCGGGCGTTCCAGATAATATGGATGAACCCTGCTCCGATGGCGGGAGGTGCGATGATAAAAAGGAGATGAGGAGATAATCTCGAATAATATTGGTAACTAAAAGTCCAGCAGCACTTAGTGTGTTTGTCTGAAGCGTCTTAACGCTATAACGCTATATGAGGCAAAATTGGGGAAGTATTATTAAGAATGTATGAGGCAAAATTGGGGAAGTATTATTAAGAATGTATAAGGCAAAATTGGTTTATAAACATCAGGATTACTCACTTGCACTGTTGAAATGTGGAAGTGTACGGATTAAATCGTCCTTTTTTGGCGGTTAATGCTTTGTTTTCTCCAACAACACGTCCGCCGGACTCCACGGTATTCCTAGCTCCAGCCTTCCAAGGGTCCGGTGTTATTACTCTGCCCAATTTCTTTTCGCACTTCTCACAAACCATTTTTGTTTAGTTTCTTACTAACCTAACGAGCTTGTATTAGTTCAAATTTTTTATTAAATTGTAGATTTTACTGAATAATATGTAGGTTATATTAATTAAATATTACTTATCAAATATTAAAATATGCTCTGCTAGTGAACAGCTAGTTTTATTTAGAAATCATAGTTAATACACTTAATATTTGTTAGAAATAAAATTTATTTAAGTTGATGTTGTTGATGTTTTGATCGACTAATAGTTTTCTTTTTGAATCGTCATTTGGATAGGCAACAGGAATGAAGCCCATACAGTCAAAACTTTTATATCTAAGTGCGGTTCCGTGTCTAGTATTAAAAGTAAATGAAAACAATCATGGAAATTGACTTGATTTTGGAATTAAATTTGAATAAAATTAAACTAAATTCAATGAATTAATATAAATGACGGTTAGGAGTTGGACAAGATCAAAATCCCTTGCAATCAAATAGGTGGAATTTACTAAGACTTCAATGGACTTTTTGGAAGGGCTTGATAAGTCATGGCCTATATTTCACTAAGGCTACGGTGAATATTTCAATGTACTTTTACGAATTCTAATCGATTAATATAAAAATTTTAAGCATGAAGAAACATTAAATTAAAAAGTAACAGCTCGAGTGCCCGCCAACTATTTTCTTCAAACTAAATAGTGTAACGTCAGTCTCATGCAAACAAGAACGAAGGACTGCTTGACAGACCAAATAGGTGCGAACCCAACCCGTGCCGCTTATAAATCGCATAGTCCTACACGACTTCTGTGCGGACCCTGGCCCTTAAGTACTTTGTTTTAGAAACTGTCAAGGCAAAGTCAAGACATGAGGCTTAAGTTGAAGAAAAAAACAAAATAGTAATCTCGTTTTCCCCTCTAGAAAAAAAAAACAAATAAAACAGCATATCCAATTGCAATATAAGTATTGAGCGATTTATTAACTCGTTTCTCGATAAACATTTCAATAGATTTTATTAATCAACACATTCAACTTTCATAGTTTATTTATCCGACGCCGAAAGCTAATCTATATTAGTGGCACGTTACTATCAAAAGCGTTGTAACGGAAATGTTGCAAGAAATAAAAATATACGAATTGCTAACTCTGATGTTCCTCCGCCATTTTCGTTGGAGCATCACTTGGATTTGTGTCATTTGACTCTGGGTAATATTGTTCTTGTGGAGCCTCCGCTGTGTTCTCATAGCTTTGTTCGTAATTCTGCTCGGGTTGGTAGTTGACTTCGGCTATGTTGTTGTATTGTTCTTCGCTATATTGCGCGTTGGGGTCAGCATATTGCTGATATTGTTCATAATTTTCATATTGTTCGTTAGCGTAAGTTGGCTCCTCGTAATTATTTTGGTATTCAGGTTGGTATTGCATTTCTGTTGCTTCGTAATTTTGTTCCTGTCCAATGAAATTCGCATCCTCTTGATAAGTCTGTTCTTTATGCTCTACGTCCATTGGTCTTTCTGATTTAACGGGTGCACCGTTTTGATTTTTGTACGGTTCTTCATCATCTTTGGACATCGGTTGAGATTGATGTTCGTCGGTTATTGTTGTAGGCTCTTGGTGGTCGTGATGCTCAGGTTGGAGTTGCTCTCTGTCCGTTCGGTCTGTATGTCCGGTGTCTCCGGGGGACTGATCTCCGGGATCGTCGTGTCCGGGAGAGGAAGTAACAAAGGGTATGCTTCTGTCGGCTGGAGTATAGTGCGTGGGATGTGCTGTAATAATTTGATTAAAGTTAGATGGGTATCTTAAATATATTATTTTGTACATTCATTGATTTAATCTGATATTGATTTGATCAGTTGAAATGAAAGAACATTTTATTGTGTCGAATATAATTGGAAGTTTTTGAAGTGAAACTTCTAATGCGACTTCCAACAAGGTTGCGTTAAACGTTTAACGCTATCACGGAATAGAAAGAGACAGAGCGAGAGTGACTGCATGGTACACGAACGCATGCGCGTAGTATACCTGTTACAGGCCAGCGCGAGCGTTAGCAACGAGTAGCATCCAATATATAATGAAGTATTTAAAAAAAAAATATATATTTTTCTATGTATAATTTAAAATACCTATATATAATATAAATAAATGTTGAAGATGTCGCATCTCTTATACACAGCATTCCTTATTACAAAAGCAATCTGATTTAAGGGTGAAAAATGAAGAAAGCCACAATACTACATATCGAAAAAGAAGTTTCACTTCATTCACGTGCACCAAGTTGCACGCGCGCCGTTATTTTATTTTGTAGCTTCAGTAGATCATTTTAGAGTTTAAAGTTGCAATAGTTTAGATTTTATTGCTTAGATCACATCTACAATTTGTGAATTACTTGAGAATAAATTTATATGCGTAAAAAACTAAATTAATTATTTATCAAATTCAAATACTCTCGAATAAACATGCCAATAAAACATTGAGCTTCAAACATATAGTACTAATCTCATAAAATACGTGAAATGTTGTTTTAATATTTAATTTGTTGATATTATAATTTCTTAATTGGGCAAATTTACCAGGGACTCCTGGGAATTCATTCATCATAATTTTTTTTCGTGCCAGGGGCGAACCTCCTAGGAGATCCCCGCGCCTAAGGGGGCGCGCGGGGTATGTATGTGGGACTCGACGATCTGCAAGGTATTGGGAGCAGACCGCGGGCCCAAGGAATTTAAGGCCCTACCCACTAAACGACTCCCCTTTGTATGAGTTAACTTTTACGCTATCGAGAACGTTAAAAAACTCGCACTACGCACACTTCTCATTCCTAGACTCTGTTGTCGAACTAATGTCGTACCGTACCTTGACGACTAGGCGCGTGCGGCGGCTGCAGTGTCCTGCCCAGAGTGTCTACTTGACGCTGCAGAGCTGCCAATTCTTCCCTGCGGCACACACGCACATGCGATCACACCACACAAACGTGCAATAATACATTTCTCGCTGAGATATACAATTCGAATGAAACAAATCGATATTCGCGACGCAAGACAATCGTTTTACGTCATCCGTTGAGTTTTTTTTTATTGCTTAGATGCGTGAACGAGCTCACAGCCCACCTGGTGTTAAATGGTTACTGGAGCACATAGACATCTACAACGTAAATGCGCCACCCACCTTGAGATATAAGTTCTGAGGTCTCAAGTATAGTTACAACGGCTGCCCCACCCTTCAAACCGAAACGCATTACTGCTTCATGGCAGAAATAGGTAAGGCGGTGGTACCTACCCGCGCGGACTCACAAGAGGTCCTACCACCAGTAATAGAAGACAATCGTATTACGTCGTCCATTGCGTGTTTAGAGTTCATTGACGGGAAGCATTGATTTTAAATGAGCGAAGCAGCCTCCAGACTACACTATAATATAATAGCACATGGTATATAGCAGAACAATATCGCGCACCATACATTGTTATGGACACGTTCACGCTGTACTGTACTATATATTATTGGTTAGGTATACACTGCTATACTATATGGCACTATAGTATAGCGTAGTATGAAAGCAGCTTAATGTCTTGAAACTATCAAAAAGAAATATAACTGAATTAGGTTAATCGTGTTAAGATTTTACCGAAATTGATTTCGCTAAAGGAATACGTGATTAAACTATTTTCTCATGCTTTACTAAAATACCCCAACTAATTCACAAAATAACTATCTACCCACAAAATCTACCAGATTGTATTGAACACAAGCCATTACCTTCGAAGGCTCGACATCGGAGTCATCGACTCTATCAAGGGAGAGATCGCTCAAGTTTCTCACGAGGCCTCCGATGTGGTCTCTAGATGAAAAGCTCCTAAATCTATTAGTGAAGGGGGTCGATGTTCGGTAGGTGCGGTCTAGGTCATACGATGATCGACTGTGGGGGTATCCGCTCAGCGGGGTGGAGCTTCGTGCTACAGTGGTAGTGCAATATCTCTTGTGGGAACACCACAAGCTCCTGAGCTTTCGCATCAGCTCAGCGTTCCTGCAAAGCAATTGTGTTTTCTCCGCTCTGAAACGTAAACGCTTTTCGTGAACCTCTGTGAGCAGCTGTAAGCTTATGAAAAACTACTGCAAGCTTTTCTATGCTTTTGTTATACTAGATCAGTGTTGTCCATTTTGAATTCGAATGAAATATCTATTGGTTTTTTTTTTATCTTCATACTATTAAAGAAAAATGTTGAATGTAGAATGAAACTATACAGGGCGTCCCAGAAGGAATGGATAATCATGAAACACCTCATAATAGAGCTATTGGGGACACAAAATAAAAAAATAAACAAAAATATTTCTAAGGTAGTACCCAAATTACGTATTAAAAAAACATTATTTTCCATAGTACTGCGCGTTTCTGTAATATACAACAGCTACAAATATATAAAATCCATAGGGTTTTTGGTGTTATTGTTTCTACATGGAGTATACCAATGGATGCACTAAGCCATAGGAGTAGCTGTTGTAATTTTTTGTAAAAATTAATCCGAACTTAAATTTTAATCATGAAATGTAGTATTTTTATCTGGGTAATTAATTTGGGTACTACCTGATAATTTTTATTTTTTATTTTGTGTCCCCAATAGCTCTACTGTGAGGTGTTTCAGGATTATCCATTATGTTTGGGACACCCTGTATATGTGGCTTTACTATGGTCAATGGATATCGTCCAGTTAATCTATCGAGGGTTGAAAAGCCATTTGGGCTAAGCGAAATTTTTGCAACTTTACAGGAGAGCCATTTCAAGTTTAAAATTTAGAAAAAAATATAACAAAAAAAATTTCAGCTACTATTTGATGCGAGTAAACTCAATTGAAGTTCAATTAAAAACATCGAACTGTTGATGCTTGTACCAAATAAAACGGGTCTTTAATTACAAAGATAAATTGTGGCGTATTAAGCTAAATTTCGCCTTTCACCTCTCGATATAATAAATTCTATAATCGTTCATAATTATCTAAGCATGTACTTTACGAGTATATTATGTATTATAATTATATTTTAGGTACATAAAAAAAGTACTTTTGGAAAATAACATGACGTGTTTTAAAACTTTTATTGCACTACATATAATTATTAGGTGTCGATCATCATTACCCATTTAAATAACATATATCCTTTTAAAGTTTGAACAACAAAAAAACCGAGCTTCAATAAAATGAGTCGACTATTATCAAAGCCGGCAATGTGACTTTTGGACAATTATTGGTAAAACAGAAAAACGAATTATTGACTTTGTATTCCATTGGCAGTCACAAAACTCTTCTGAACGACATCTTAGATAAATAACAGGTTAAGTATTAACCTTTATTTAATGCAGGTTTTGAACCGTATTCTTTGAAGGAGACGATTACATTCAAATCAATCTGTATTGACATATCAATAAATTTTTTTTGTCCAAATGCACAGATTGCCACCTTTGATAATAGACGACTCAAATAATGTAAGTACACCATTAATGTGGTTAATTAAACATGCATTATTAAGGATAACTCAAAAATTATTGGTCACATCTTAATAGAATTTGGAACCACATGAGAAAATTAAGATACAAAAATACACTAAAATTGTGTGAACCTTCTCTTTTTTCGAGGTCAGTTAAAAACAACAAGAAACTTTATAACTTAATTAACAATATCACGTTCACATTGCACTTAAACTAACTGGTTATTTCCAAATAAAATAATAAGCATGGAACATTCACTGCGACTACTAATACAAGGAGTATTACAGATTTTTTTTTTCATACAACTATACCTAATAAACTTTCGCATATTACACTGCCGATATATGTATTAAATTTTTATAAATTTTTAAGTATCTTCGTCTGCCTTCTCAATAGATTCTGTTGGTACGGGAACTAATTCTTCTGTAAGTTCAATTTTTTCATCTATATCTTCAGAAGCTATATTTGGAGCTGGAATAATTGTATCTGATAATTCTAGATTAGTTTCGTCAACATCTTCATTCGCATCTCCATCTGTACTATCACGTGTATCTTCGGTTTTATCTAGAACAATATTCTCTAGTTCGGCAGTGTTTGCTTTTGGCGATGTAACTTTTATACTAATTGGACTTAAATGACTTCTGTCATCTTCAACATCGTTTTCCAATCGTGAAGCTTCTATATTAGGGGTGCCATCAATAACTTCAACTGTTTCGCTTAAAACCCGTACCGCACCTTCTGACACCTCCATACTAACACTATTCTTAACGCCTTTATCGTCTAAAGCAACTTCATCTACTTGTGCTGTGCGTTTCTTGTCTCTCCTCCTCGATTTCGGTATCAACTTGACGCTTATATCAACTTTGATTGGCTCCTTTTTCTCCCGTAAAAAGGGCTGTTGGATCATAAGCGGCAAATTGTAGGTCCTTTCGCCGTCAGCGTCAGCGAGATCCTGATTTGTCGTCAACGGGCCAACGATTATCGGCTGGTGTTTACACGACGAATCGGACTCTTTTCCGGAGCGGCGCCTTGAGGTGCGAGTCTCCTTTATCAGTCGGTCCCGCGACCCCGACCGGGAGTGACGTGTGATCGGTTCGTCTGCACGTAGCCGCGCTCTGCCTGCCGCCAACGAATACACACGCGACGTTAGGAATCAAAATTACGTTCTTAAATGGGTAATGACAATAGCAACGTTCGGGGTTGGCGAGGGGCGTTGGGGGACAGGGGGCACGGGGGACGGGGTCGAGTCTGGTGCGAGTAAAGTTGTAAAGGTTCGTACTTGTGCCTACGGTTCGCGTCGTCGAGCTTGTCTGTGAGCAAGCGACACTCTCCGGTCAGTTTCTCCATCAGACTGTTTTGTGAATGTATCATGCCCTCCAACTCGGCCACCGTTTTAGCTGTGGAACCAAATGTTCTTGCTTTAAACATTCCCTCGCTAATATCGACGAGCTAATACAGAGACCGCGTTCAGAGCACTTGTGCATCGCGTTGTTTCGATTTAATTCATCGACAACTTCACCAATGGGATCCCAAAAATTTAAGACTACCGTCTCTAAAGTGCTTCCTTAGTTAATCGCGAGTCGCGGACGCAATTAAAACAAATTTTACGGATTCTCTTCTTTAAGTCGGAACGCATGTTATGAAACTATATAAGAAATAAGCCGCGATTAAAATCTTAAAATCAATTTTAATTGTGTCGTCGTTTGGACATGTTTCTGGAAACCAAGCGATGCAAGCGCTAACCACGGTCCGAACTATTGTCCACTAGCCAACAATCTGATGAATAAACCATTGAAGGTAATGAAAGCGTATCCCATACATCTGTGACGTGCAAGCGCTCGATGTAAAAGTAAATTACCAATGTTTTGAAAGTCCAATTGCATGCTTTACGCAAAAATATTGGCAGAATTTCGATCAAAACCACAACACCCTTGTGGTTGGTATGTTTCTAACAAAAATACTAATTCTTTGAACTGTTCTAAATGTTGAATCCTTTGAAATATATTTTCAATTTCTTATATCTGAATTATGGAGGGTGGAGGAAATGAGGAGGACCAGCTCAGTGTATTAAAAAGTTTCCGCTAAAAAGGAGCCAATTAAGGTGGCGCCACAGTAGCAAGTTGAAAGATTTAAAAATCAGCGTCATAAACTGTTAGATGAGGATATTCAATTAAGAAGGAAAGAAACATTTCCTACGTAAATAATATAAAAATAAACAGTTAATATTTTAATTACTGCATAATTTTTAACTACACAGGTAACAAAAATATTACATTTTTCAACCTAGTATAGTTTACCCTGTTTAAAACTGCTATACTCATAAAATTTCCACTTCTTACACTAGCGCTATTTCGGCGAGTCTTTAAACAATAACTTGCAAACAGCTTGCTTTTTTGACTTGTCCCTTAAACAAGATGGTGGTACTCTTTAATTCTACCCTCCATAATCTGAACAGTTAGTTTGACATTTGAGCAATTCGCGATCATAGACAAATGAACCCTCTATTCGCAGATTATATAGGAAATGTTGCCAATATCAATAATAAAATGTACTATATATTTTTTTTAATATATCTAAATCGCTTTCAAAACATTGATAGTTTACCCGGAAAGCTACGTCTGTATAGTGGTGCTGGTGTACGCACCGTGCTTGTTGTCAATTGACTCCAGCATGGTAGACAACTCCTTTTCCTTCTTGTTCTTCTCTGAAGAGATCGGGCTCAAGCTCTTCAAGTTAATCTGAGAATTTTATATCACTACCATAAGAAACCATAGATATTTCAAAGTACCCTCAATTTGAGTTATTAGATATACGTGTCATGGCGGTTGTCCTATTCTTCATATCGGAACTGTACAGCTTCTTAATAATAGGCAGGGTGATAGTATATTCTCGTGTGGGCTCACAAGATGCTCTACCAGCAGTAATAGGCAAAAAAGAAACAGTAAAGTTTCCAGTGTCTATTTTTAAACCATTTTCTTTTGTTTGCCTCAATAGTTCAGTGTTACCAAATTAATAAATCAGCTGTTTTTTTCTTATTTGTCGTTTCGATATGCAAAAGATAACTTACAACACGTAAATTGAATTTAAGTCTTGAGTCAACATTGATTATGTCGTATACTATTTTATTATGATCTTCAGTGAATATGTAAGTTTTTTTTTACAGAAAAATATTGTAAATATAATGCCTCAATTCAATCCCAAGTAAGGTCAATATTTTTTTGAAACATTTGATATTGTTGTCTGACCATTAATTAGCTCTTGGGTCGACGTCGCCCTAAACACATAATTACGGATCCTCCCGATCCATTAACGGTGCTTTTAGGTATCACAAGCACCGGTCACCGTCTTCGTCGAACCCGTCGCTTGCGACGAAGGGCTCGACGAGTGAACTAAGCCACAGACACAGCCCACTGAGTTTCTCCCCGGATCTTCTCAGTGGGTCGCGTTTCCGATCCGGTGGTAGACTCTGCGAAGCACTGCTCTTGCTAGGGCCAGTGTTAGCAACACTCCGGTTTGAGCCCCGTGAGTTCACCTACACGTCAAGGAGAAGCTGAAATAGCCTCTCAAGGCTATCATACGTATTTCCGTTACATTAATGACAGAATAGACATAAATTCCTGATTTAGGAATGTAAAATTTAATGAATTTTAAATTATAATAGTTTCGTACGATAAATGGAGTAGGTACCTCTTTTTCGAGATTGGAGATCTGCTCAGAGAGACGCAGGTTCTCGCGGCGCGAGTGCACCAGATCTGCGTCAGCTCGGTCCAGACGCTGACGAAGGGACTGGATCTGTGAAGGGTACGGAACAATTGATCGGGCTAGCAACTTTTTTTTTGTAACATTTCTGAAAATTTATGAATTGGTACACTTCATTCACGGTTGTTTGCATAAGAGTTAGTGCATTGCGCAAACGAACGCTCTGAGATCGTGGTCAATGAATGATAAAAAAATATGTTATTTATATATATTTTTTTGTACGTTACTACAAAGTAAGTCGTACACTATATGCATTACTAATAAAAATCTTACGTTACGGACGTTTTTTTTCCGGTTAGGGTACTCCTTCACATCGTCCCATAAGGAGCTTCGTTCCGAAAATAAAAAAAAAGTCTAAAGCTACTGAACCATTATGAGGTGACCTCTGAATTAAGTCGATTAGTTTCGTGTTTGGTCTGGCGCTGGTGTCGCTCTAAGGCCAGCCGCGCGCTCGCCAGCTCCTCCTCCAACGAAGCCTTCTCGGCGTGAGCCTGAGATAGATCAGCCTGGAGAGATGCTGAAACAACATAGCTGTAGAATAAGCTATCAAGTTAGAAAATGCATTTCGAATTTTAGCTTTGAACGAATTTAAACTGTATTGACATGTCTTTTTTTATTGCTTAAATGGGTGGACGAGCTCACAGCTAATACCTGGTGTTAAGTGGTTACTGGAGACCATAGACATCTACAACGTAAATGCGAAAGGCATTACTGCTTCACGGCAGAAATAGGCAGGGCGGTGGTACCTACCCGTGCGGACTCGCAAGAGGTCCTACCACCAGTGATTACGCAAATTATAATTTTGCGGGTTTGATTTTTATTACACGATGTTATTCCTTCACCGTGGAAGTCAATCGTGAACATTTGTTGAGTAGGTAATGCATTAGAAAAATTGGTACCCGCCAGCGGGATTCGAACACCGGTGCATCGCTACACACGAATGCACCGGACGTCTCATCCTTTAGGCCACGACTACTTCAAAACTAAAAATTAAAGCCATTTTTCGTTTTTTTTTGCGTCCTCGTTCGCTAATCTGCGATCGTTCACTACGACTTGACAGATTTGGGTCGGGTTTTCGGTGATGTATTTAGATAGGTATGATGCTAGATATACTAAAGATAGAGAGTGGATATTCCAGCTAAGTGGGGATGGGTAGGTGATCTCAATCACGGGCTTAATATGAGTGAGTTAGCAAACATTGGCCCTCCCTAGCAAGAGTAGCCTTTCGCAGAATCTACCAGCGGATCGAAATCGCGGCCCACTGAGAAGATCCGTTGAGAAACTCGATGGACTGTTTGGAGTACCTATCTTCAATAAACGTTCTTTCAATAAAATACAAATTCATCTAAAATACACAAGTAAGTTAAACTTGAACTTAAACTAAAGAGCTGACGGTTAGCGTGGTATGGACATGTGATGCGTAGAGAGAAGATGCATGTGACTAGGAGATGTATGGAAATGGTAGTGCAAGGTAGAGGGGGAATAGGTCGACCGAAGAAGACGTGGATGGAGTGTGCGACGATATGAGAAAGAGAGGAGTGAGTGTTGAGATGACGGCTGATAGAAGAGAATGGAGTAGAAAAATTACCTGTGCCCTAGTGGGATAAGGTGGAGAAAAAAGAACTTAAACTCGAATTGCGAATAATCAATGTCATGTTTCAAGGTGGGTGCCACCTTAACCTTGGGGTAGCCACTGAACACCAGGTGGAGCGTGAGCTCCCCGAATTAGCCAAGCAATAGTAAAAAAATACCAGTTTTATTCTTGAGTTCCATCTTCAGTTCCTCAACGGCAGAGTTCTTCAGGGTCAGCTCTCGTTTGAGGTCGTTCTCCTCGCGCCGCTGACGATCCAAGTCAAGCTGAAAGTTGTCGTGAAGTTGTTACAAGCTTATGTTACTAATTACCTTTTGTGCTTTTGTATTATGTGACGGAATTAGGTGCTCCTAGATCGTTAAGTATCAACGCACGGTGAGACTAAATTGTCATACTCGAGCAATCGACTGTAATCTCCGATTTATTGGCGATAAAACTAGCACTAATGTACATTAGATTTCAAGATAGTCGTTTTCTTTAATTATACTGTATTCAACACCTCAACTGCGGGAAATAAATTCATAAACTATCATCTGATGCGGCAGAAATGGTAGTCCGTCAAAGGCCGATGTGAATGCGTCAAATGTGTCGCCGACTGTGTAATATTGGTATTGCATTAAAGGGCAATGTGTGTGTGTCAAATGTGTGGCGGTTAAACCCGCTCGTATGGCGCGGCAATGGACAGCATTTCGGAATGATGCGGTCCCGTCATAAGCACCTGCAGTCTGGCGACGGTGTCGTACTGCGCGGCGAGGTCGTGGTGCAGGTCGTCCAGGTGCTCGGCGCGCGCCCTGCCCCGCGCCCCCGCCCCCGCCAGCTCCCGCACCCGCGCACGCTCCTTGCTCAACTCCTCCTGGATGTGTAACAGCTCGTACAGTTTCTACAGCCTGATCCGTGTTTTTTTTGACGTGACAACGTTTTATAATTCGATGGAGCCGGCTGCGTGCACGAAAAACATGACTCATGCGGCGATACCTCGCTCTGAGGCGTTCCATTTAAGGCTCGAAGTGCAAGCGAGAGCGCGCAACGAGCGACAAAGAGGCACAATCGGCCTCCGCGTTCGGCAGCGTTCGACATCTCTCTCCTACTTGAGTGAGCGATGCATCCGCGTGGACAGCTGCCATACAATAATACATTTACATGTTTCGTCAAGTATGAAGTTCAGTGAAAAGTGAATGTGGTGTCAATTGTTTATAGCAACGATAATTGCGATAATTTAAAAATGAAACCATTCCATCAGTATTTTCTTATGACGTTGTCACGTTCAACTATCGTCAGTAAACCGACTTTACAGACAACAGATTTTTTTTATTGCTTAGATGGATGGACTAGCTCACAGCCCACCTGGTGTTAAGTGCTTACTGGAGCCCATAGACATCTACAACGTAAATGCGCCACCCACCTTGAGGTATAATTTCTAAGATTTCAGTATAGTTACAACAGCTGCCCTACCCTTCAGACCGAAACGCATTACTGCTTCACGGCAGAAATAGGCAGGGTGGTGGTACCTACCGGCGCGGACTCACAAAAGGTCCTACCACCAGTAATTACGCGAATTATAATTTTTGCGAGTTTTGATTTTATTACACGATGTTATTCCTTCACCGTGAAAGTCAATCATGAACATTTGTGGAGTACGTATTTCATTAGAAAAATTGGTACTCGCCTGCGATTCGAACACCGCTGCATCGCTCAACACGAGTGCATCGGACGTCTTATCCTTTAGGCCACGACGACTAAGTGCGAGTTTCTTAACGTACTCGATAGCGTAAAAGTTAAGCCAATTTTGTATGCAATTGGAACAGCGCCCCTAGCGGAAAACATACGCAAAACGATCCTATTCCATACGAATATGAGCTAACTTTTACGCTATCGAGAACGTAAAAAAACTCGCACTAAGCACACAGAACTCGAAACCGTCCGTTCCAATTAACGAATGATTTAAATTATTACTATAGTAGAATTATTTTGTCCGTGCACTTTGGGTAATAAAAAACCGAGAGGTGAAGCGAGTATTTCGCTCTCTCTTCCACTCACGAGCCTCTATTTTGATTATTTACCTTGAGACTTCTTATTTCTGCTTCCAAACTGTTCTTATCTTCTCTTAGTTGTTGTTCCACGACCTCAGTTCTCCTGTAACGTCCGCTGTCGTCTTCGCGCTGCTCCAAGCTCAGTTTGAGCTTAGATATTTGAGCTTCCAACGTGGACTTGTCTCTGTTGTAGGTTGATTTAAAACCAAATTTCAGAAAAGAATTTTATGTCGCAACTAAGTAATGTTTGCGTAAAAGTGACCTTGAAAGACCCAAAAGATCAGAGTGGAAACGTTCTTTTTTCACATGCTGTCAAGTGGTTATTGTATCCCATATTCATTAACAACGTTAATGCCGCCACCCACCTTGGGGCATGAGTTCTAAAGTCTCCGTTTTTACAGTACAGTGGCTGCCCTGCCCTTCAGAAGAACGAAACGCATTCCTGCTTCACGGCAGAAATAGGTAGGAAATACTAGTTTTTTTTTTTTTTACAAACGCAAAGTGTAGTCTCCTGTGAGAAATTGGGGGAGGTGGAGAATCTCGGTCCTCCTCTTCTCCCCTCTTCCTCTCTGGAGCGCCGGAGTCCGACATAGCCCGGTCCATTACCCCCCTCGACCAGGACTCCGTAAATGGATTTCCTGGCGTTAAAAAAAAAAAAAACAAAAGAAGGGTCGTGATACTAGGCCTTGCGGACTAGTCAGAGAGCCAAACCACTGGTAAACTAGATTAATCAATACATAAACATTGATAATAAAGGATTCCAATATGTAGATATCCAACTGAATATACTTTGTAAACGCGTCGTCAAATTTACTAATAAAAAAGTAAAACAGACTTTATCACAATTATGCCTAAAGTATTTTTTATTTTGTCACCTAGGAACCTATGTAACCATTCCATATTCACGTATTCTGTATTCACGGCATATTTACGAATATCTTATACCTTTGAACGAGCAATTCTTGTATATATATATATGTCGTGGATAACGACTTTTAGTAATATTAAGACGGTGGTTTTGATTATTATTTTAAATGATGAAATGTTGTTTTGATAAATATCACAAAATGAAGGGTAGACTCCGTAACGCCACAGTATAAAATGGCGGTACGTGGACAGAGTCGTGGCATTCCGTGTCAGACAGTCATTCCGTCCGTCTCAGTCNAGGTACGCGGATAGAGCCCTATGGTCGCCCGGCGTTGCGACCTTTATTTGAATCCCATGCGCGACGTTACGCGCATGGGTATAATTTATTTTGTTTGCCTGAAGGGCCTGGGAGACGCGGTTCCATGCTGACTTCTCCTGGAGAATCAGCGGGGGCGGGACGACGGTTTTTTGCGCGGGTGCGGGCTTGGGACGCGGCGGTGGGGTTGCACGGCGGCCGGAGTCCGACTCCGGTGTCACGACTACCTGCGGACGGGAAGCAGTCGCTGATTTTGTTTGTTTTGTCGTGGAGCTCCGGGACTCCACGGCGCGAGTACGTTTTTTCCCGCGTTTTACCGTTTGGAACCCATCCGAGGTTCCGGGCTGCGGGCTCGTCGCGGACTCGAAGTCCATCTCCGATCCGGTATCGGAGTCTGAACCTGAGTTAATGATAACGGACGACGCGACGGATGAGATTGGCGAGAATGACGTCGCGGGTGCGTTAGGCGCTTCGTTGGCGCTAGGCGCTTCCTGAGTCGATTTGGGCCGGGTTTTCGGTGATGTATTTATATAGGTATGATTTTTTTTTTATTGCCCTTGTAGGCAGACGAGCATACGGCCCACCTGATGGTGAGTGGTTACCGTCGCCCATGGACTTCAGCAATGCCAGGGGCAGAGCCAAGGCGCTGCCTACCACAAATCTAGATATACTAGAAATAGAGGATAGAGAGTGGATATTCCAGATAGGTGGGGACGGGTAGGTGACCTGAATCACGGGCTCAACCTGAGTGAGTTCGCAAACATTGGCCCTTCCTAGCAAGAGTAGCCTTTCGCAGAATCTACCAGCGGATCGAAATCGCGACCCATTGAGAAGATCCGGCGAGAAACTCAGTGGGCTCTCTGGGGTCCCTATCTCCAATAAACGTTCTTTCAATAAAATACAAATTCACCTAAAATACACAAGTAAGTTAAACTTGAACTTAAACTAAAGAGCTGACGGTTAGCGTGGTATGGACATGTGATTCGTAGAGAGAAGATGCATGTGACTAGGAGATGTATGGAAATGGTAGTGCAAGGTAGAGGGGGAATAGGTCGACCGAAGAAGACGTGGATGGAGTGTGCGACAATATGAGAAAGAGAGGAGTGAGTGTTGAGATGACAGCTGATAGAAGAGAATGGAGTAGAAAAATTACCTGTGCCCTAGTGGGATAAGGTGGAGAAAAAAAGAACTTAAACTCGAATTGCGAATAATCAATGTCATGTTTCAAGGTGGGTGCCACCTTAACCTTGGGGTAGCCACTGAACACCAGGTGGAGCGTGAGCTCCCCGATCCAGCCAAGCAATAGCAAAAAAAAATACCAGTTTTATTCTTGAGTTCCATCTTCAGTTCCTCAACGGCGGAGTTCTTCAGGGTCAGTTCTCGTTTGAGGTCGTTCTCCTCGCGCCGCTGACGATCCAAGTCGAGCTGAAAGTTGTCGTCAAGCTGTTACAAGCTTATATTCAAATTACTTCTTGTGCTTTTGTATTATGTGACGGAATTAGGTGCTGCTAGATCGTTAAGTATCAACGCACGGTGAGACTAAATTGCCATACTCGAACAATCGACTGTAATGTCCGACTTATTGGCGATAAAACTAGCGCTAACGTACATTAGATTTCAAGATAGTCGTTTTCTTTAGTTATACTGTGTTCAACACCTCAACTGCGGGAAATAAATTCATAAACTATCATCTGATGCGGCAGAAATGGTATTCCGTCAAAGGCCGATGTGAATGCGTCAAATGTGTCGCCGACTGTGTAATATTGGTATTGCATTAAAGGGCAATGTGTGTGTGTCAAATGTGTGGCGGTAAACCCGCTCTTAGCGGCGCGGCAATGGACAGCGTTTCGGGATGATGCGGTCCCGTCATAAGCACCTGCAGTCTGGCGACGGTGTCGTACTGCGCGGCGAGGTCGTGGTGCAGGTCGTCCAGGTGCTCGGCGCGCGCCCTGCCCCGCGCCCCCGCCCCCGCCAGCTCCCGCACCCGCGCACGCTCCTTGCTCAACTCCTCCTGGATTTGTAACAGCTCGTACAGTTTCTACAGCCTGATCCGTGTTCTTTTTTTGACGTGACAACGTCTTATAATTCGATGGAGCCGGCTGCGCGCACGAAAAACATGACTCATGCGGCGATACCTCGCTCTGAGGCGTTCCATTTAAGGCTTGAAGTGCAAGCGAGAGCGCGCAACGAGCGACAAAGAGGCACAATCGGCCTCCGCGTTCGGCATCTGTCTCTCTCCTACTTGAGTGAGCGATGCGTCCGCGTGGACAGCTGCTATACAATAATACATTTACATGTTTTCGTCAAGTATGAAGTTCAGTGAAAAGTGAATGTGGTGTCAATTGTTTATAGCAACGATAATTGAAAAATGAAACCATTCCATCAGTGTTTTCTTATGACGTTGTCACGTTCAACTATCGTCAGTAAACCGACTTTACAGACAACAGCTTTTTTTTATTGCTTAGATGGATGGACTAGCTCACAGCCCACCTGGTGTTAAGTGCTTACTGGAGCCCATAGACATCTACAACATAAATGCGCCACCCACCTTGCGATATAAGTTCTAAGATTTCAGTATAGTTACAACAGCTGCCCTACCCTTCAGACCGAAACGCATTACTGCTTTACGGCAGAAATAGGCAGGGTGGTGGTACCTACCGGCGCGGACTCACAAAAGGTCCTACCACCGGTAATTACGCAAATTATAATTTTTGCGGGTTTTGATTTTATTACACAATGTTATTCCTTCACCGTGTAAGTCAATCGTGAACATTTGTGGAGTACGTATTTCATTAGAAAAATTGGTACCCGCCTGCGATTCGAACATCGGTGCATCGCTCAACACGAATGCATCGTCTTATCCTTTAGGCCACGACGACTAAGTGCGAGTTTCTTAACGTACTCGATAGCGTAAAAGTTAAGCCAATTTTGTATGCAATTGGAATAGCGCCCCTAGCGGCAAACATACGAAAAACGATCCTATTCCATACAAATATGAGCTAACTTTTACGCTATCGAGAACGTAAAAAAACTCGCACTAAGCATACAGAACTCGAAACCGTCCGTTCCAATTAACGAATGATTTAAATTATTACTATTGTAGAATTATTTTGTCCGTGCAGTTTGGGTAATAAAAAATCTTTTTTTTTTTTTTTTATTGCCCTTGTAAGCAGACGAGCATACGGCCCACCTGATGGTGAGTGGTTACCGTCGCCCATGGACTTCAGCAATGCCAGGGGCAGAGCCAAGCCGCTGCCTACCGCTAAAATCGAGAGGTGAAGCGAGTATTTCGCTCTCTCTTCCACTCACGAGCCTCTCTTTTGATTATTTACCTTGAGACTTCTTATTTCTGCTTCCAAACTGTTCTTATCTTCTCTTAGTTGTTGTTCCACGACCTCAGTTCTCCTGTAACGTCCGCTGTCGTCTTCGCGCTGCTCCAAGCTCAGTTTGAGCTTAGATATTTGAGCTTCCAACGTGGACTTGTCTCTGTTATAGGTTGATTTAAAACCGAATTTCACAAAAGAATTTTATGTCGCAACTAAGTAATGTTTGCGTAAACGTGGCCTTGAAAGACCTAAAAAGATCAGAGTGGAACAGATTTTTTTTCACATGCTGTCAAGTGGTTATTAGATCCCATATTCATTAACAATGTTAATACCACCCACCCACCTTGAGGCATGACTTCTAAGCAGTTTTGGCAGTACAACGACAACCCAAACCTTCCAGCCATACGTTCTACTGCTTCACGACAGAAATAGGCAGGGTGGGAAATACTAGTTTATTATTTATTTTTATTTACAAACGCGCCTTTTTCAAAGCGTAGTCAGTCTCCTGTGAGAAATTGGGGGAGGTGGAAAATCTCGATCCTCCTTTTCTCCCCTTCTTCCTTTCTGGAGAGCCGGGTCTAACATAGCCCGGTCCGTTATCCTCCTCGACCAGGACTCCGTAAATGGATTCCCTGGCGTTAAAAAAAAAAAACAAAAAAAAGGTCGTGATACTAGTCCGTGCGGACTAGCTAAAAAACCAAATTACCGGTAAACTAGATTAATCGGCACACACACACATTGATAATAAAATATTCCAATATTTAGGTATCCAACCGAATACCCTTTGTAAGCGCGTTGTCAAATGGACTAATAAAAAAGTAAAACAGACCTTTCTGAACGTTACAAATTGGCAACGACGATATCTCCTATAATAATCCCATGTATGTAAATTACCATTCCATATTCGCGTATTTTGTATTCACGGCCTATTTACGAATACTAGAGGTCCCGCAGTAGTCGAAATTCGACTATAATTAATTGGAATTGTAAGTTTGTACACTATTATGATTGTATTTTATACTTCTATAATCACAAATTTCGCTAAGGCTACACTATAAAAAAATATTAATAACGACAAACAATATTTAATCTATTCTCAGTTTGACAACAGACGTCAAGAACAAAAGTTTGACAATAAATAGTATGCATGCGTGTGTGCGTCAAATGGTATGTAGTGTGTGTAATCTTTTCTTTATTGATTTAATGTATCTTTTATGCATTATTTAAAAAAAATATTAGCATTGTGCACTTCTTCTCTATATTCTCTATAAGTGTGGAAAATTTCATTTCAAAAAAAGGGATACAAAGTTTTTGCTTCACGTATTAATATATAGATAAAGAGTTTTTTACTATACAAACTCGAACTCCACATACTTCTTACCTCTGTAGATTGTCGATCTGTCGCTTGAAGCCGTCAAGGCAAGTCGAGTCGACAAGTCCGGAGGCCAACTTACGTTTGTTCTCATTGTTTTCATCCTAATAATAGAACAGAAACGTAAACAAGTGGTAATGTAAATTAGCAATAGGTTCCTTAACCGCAAAACCGATCTTTGTATTTTTTTAGTTGTTAAGTGGTTATGATTGTGGTGGGTAAGGTAGAAGGGAAAAGTCCCGCCGGCCGGCCACCAAACCGTTGGTCAGATCAGATAACTGCGCTCACTGGACTCTCTGTTGCGAACGCCCTGAGAGAAGTCGAAAGCCGAAGCAAATGGAAGCTGATGGTACAAAGAGCCACGAAGGGCTTCCAGGCACACGACTGTCAGCAATGAAGTATTCGACTAAGAAGAGAAGAAGAGAAGTGGTAATTGGAGCATCTACAACGTAAATGCGCGACCCACCTTGTGATATAAGTTCTAAGGTCTCAGTATACTTACAACGACTGCCAAACCCTTCAAACCGAAACGAATTACTGCTTCACGGCAGAAATTGGCGAGAAATAGGCGGGGTGTTGGTACCTACCCGTGCGGAGTCACAAGAGGTCCTACCACCAGTAGATCTAGCATGATGCCGGTTGCAAATTACGAAATAAAGAACAAAATAAAGACCAGACTTTTTAAACTAAAAAAAGGAAAGATATGGTAGTTGTTTTCGTAATAATTCTTTGGTCTACATCATTTGTGTGCATTTTTACTAATTACATTCCCTATTCGCTGTTAAAACAATCTGTGGTATTTATCTTCTCTGCCTATTAGGCCTTGATAGGCCCTACTGTATGTAAAAGGTCGCTGTAGTCTGTAGACATCAGCAACGCCATAGACACAGCTAACTCGCGGTCTCCAATACCACTGAATCTGTACCTAATTGTAAAGAACCTTTTGCACTTACCTGCAGCTTCTTCAAGTCGATCTTGGCCTGAGTTAGCTGAGCTTCCAGTTCTGCGATGCGGGACTCGAAGACGATATTTGGACCTTCCAGCCGCGTACCACGAGCTTTAGACGTCTTCCGAGCTTTCGATGGGCTTGTCTTAACGTACGAAGAAACCATTTTTGAATCGATAGCTTTTTTCTAAGTTAACCAATTTTGATAATTTTTATTTGAAAACTAGCCCTTGTCGTATGGTTCAATGGAATTTTATCAAGGTCTAACCAGTAGTTTTCGAACGCTAAGTCGCGCCGTCGTCCTATGAATATCTTTTTTGATCCCCGGATTCACTCTTGATTCTTTCAGACCCTTCAAGCACTGGTCACCGTCTTCGTCGAAATCTAACGAAGAGTAAGACGAGCGAACTAACTCAATGAAAGTTACTAAGATTCTCGCCAAATCTTCTCAGTGAGTCGCGATTCCGATCCGGTCGTAGATTCAGCGAAGCACTGCTCTTTCTGAGGCTATCCAAACTATTTTTTTTTATTTTTTTTCCCTACCTATGCTGATAGCCTTGAGAGGCTATTTCAGCTTCACCCTAACGTGTGTAGGTGAGCTCACCCTAGCAAGAGCAGTGCTTCGCAGAATCTACCACCGGATCGGAAACGCGACCCACTGAGAAGATCCGGCGAGAAACTAAGTAGGCTGTGTCTATGGATTAATTTACTCGTCGAGACCTTCGTCTCAAGCGACGGGTTCGACGAGGACGGTGACCGGTGCTTGTGGTACCTAAAACCATCGTTAATGGATCGGGAGGATCCGTAATGATGTGTTTAGGGCGGCCAAATATCTATTCATCGTCATCATCACTAGCACCACATACCTTATTGTCACTGTCGAGACCGGTGCTGTCGTCGACGTCATCAGTTTCGGAGCCATTGTACGAATGGAACATTCTAGAAATCAACTTGTTCTTCTGGGCTTCGTGCAGATGCTCGTTCTCCGAGATCACTTCCTTCACTTTACCGAGCAGATTGTTCAATTCGTCCTGGTAAAGATTTCAATGGGTCTTTCAAGAAATAATACAGTTTTACCGTAACAAAGTTAACCAACCAACCAACCAACCAAACATTTATGTGACCTTAATGCTTCTTATATGCAACATAATTGAGACTTGCATCTCACGTATTTAAGTTAATATCGGCCTTTGCGTCTGAGTCTGAGAGAACTTGCTGCCACTGATCATAGCAAGAATTGTCCTTCATCGAATCTACCGATAGATTCAGAATAGTAGCCCACTGAGAAGATCCGACGAGAAACTCATTGGGATGTGTCTATAGGTTAGTTAAATATATTATTTATTGCTGACATGGATGGACGAGCGCACGGCCAACCTGGTGTTAAGTGGTTTTCGGAGCCTATACACATCTACAACATAAATGCCGTCACACACCTTGAGATATGAGTTCTAAGGTCTCAGTATAGTGCAACGGCTGCCCCGCCTATCGAGGCGAAACGCATTACTGCTTTAGGGCAGAAATAGGTAGTGCGGTGGTACCTACCCGTCCGGACTCACAAGAGGTCCTACCACCAGTGTAAAAAAATTTAATTCAAAGTCAATCGTGAACATTTGTTAAGTACGTATTTCATTAGAAAAATTATTACCGCCTGCGGGATTCAAACACAGGTGCATCGTTACATACGAATGCACCGGACGTCTTATCCTTTGGCCACGACGATTGCACGTCGGACTGTTAGTCGAGATAGTGAAAAATCAGTAAGGAGTCTATTGACTTAGGTCTTAAGTATTTAGACGCACCCTGCAGTACTGACTCTCCCTTTCTAATTGCTCGATGTACTCTTCCTGTTTATGTATGAAATTGATGACGTCAGGGTTCGCGGTCGACGAATCTCCAGCCCCAGCCGACGTAGGAACTGGTGGTTATATGGTATAATGAATTTTATGTGATCGCAACAAAGTGAGGCAGAAAGTGTGGTCATACGTTGGTCCAATTCTGGGATAATCGTGTTTGTAAGCGATTTCCTGAATACCTTTTTTATTTGAGATTAGCTGACCCGGCAGACTTCGTAGTGCCTCAATCGATAAATAAAAGACCTAAACTTTTGTATTAAAAAAACTTCAGAGGTGTCAAGGGACACCCGGATGGAACGAAGTTCCTTTCGATTAATTAGTGAAGGAATTGTAATTTTTTTTTAAAGTTATAATAATAAATTACGGCATTATGAAGAAGAAAAAAACAATACTATGAACTAAATTACTATTGTTGAAACGCTATCTCGAGAAACTACTCATTACGCGGACCAATCGGATACGAGCAATGTCACGCGATAAGCGCCTACACGTTGATTGGTCAGAATGACGGATCTAAAAAGTATCGTGATAACTTTTCGTAAGATTTTTTTCCGTCTAGCCCCCTTTCACAACGCGCGATAAGGAACTTCGTTCCAATAAACTTAAAACAAACAAAAGGAAAACGTCCGACGGGGGAAAAACAAATTTTTTTTATTTTTCTTTAATTCCGAGCATTTTCATATTTATCTAATCCTTTTGAACCTCCAATCATTCAAGACCAAAATTAGCCAAATCGGTCCAGCCGTTCTCGAGTTTTAGCGAGACTAACGAACAGCAATTCATTTTTATATATACCTATAGATAACAACAAACAATCGATTTACAGGTACACTGTGCTTAGTGCGAGTTTTTTAACGTTCTCGATAGCGAAAAAGTTAACTTTAATTTGTATGGAGATGGAACGTTTGCCTACGTTTATCACTAGAGGCGCTGTTCCAACTGCATACAAATTTGAGTTAACTTTTACGTCCTGCCGTGAAATAAGAAAACCCATTCTTTTTTGACGCTGTTAATGAATACGAGCTCTTTGTCTATACACGCCCGCAGCTGGTGAAATTCATAAACAAATATTGCCTGATCGTAGAGCGTAACGAAAGCTCGCATGGTTTTTTTTTGTATGGCTACCTTCATCCCGCCTATTTTTGCTGTGAAGCAGTCATGATTGCGGTTAGACGGCATAGAAGTCATGCAATACAATGCGATTTAGACCTCACGTTTCAAAGCGGGTAGAAGCATTCGCATTGATGTCTATAGGTTCTGCCACTGAACCTCAGATGGCGCGTGAGTTCGTTGACCTAACTATACAATAAGATAGACGAAATGCATCACGACATGAATTCTATGAGGTAGATTCAATGTCATGTAACGGCATTGGTGCTCTTTAAGCTAAAACATGTGAAATTTTGCTGCTGAAATAAAAAGAATTACCACAATCCCCCCACCCCACAATCCTCCCACTACGAGTAAAATGGACTCACGATTTCACAAGCTATTTTTGCTAATCGGTCAATAGTGCGACCCTGCCCCCAAAAGTGCCAACAAAACCACGCTTACCATTGACAGGTTCGGGCGTGTAGTTCTTCAAGCTGTCGGCATAAAGAGTGGCATACTTGGCGGTAAGTCTCGGCTTCGGCTTGAAGTCGCCGACGGCGTTGTACGAACTAGAATATTTCTTGTCCAGATCGCCGTCGGATTCGTCTAGATTCTTTATCGAGGCGGAACCTCCGTAGCTGCGAGCCTAAATTTTCACAAATAAATTTTAATAATTCCTAAGTATAGAAACCGTTTTTTTGCGATTTATTTTATCTTTACTGGTGGTAGGACCTCTTGTGAGTCCGCGCGGGTAGGTACCACCACCCTGCCTATTTCTGCCGTGAAGCAGTAATGCGTTTCGGTTTGAAGGGTGGGGTAGCTGTTGTAACTATACTGAGATCTTAGAACTTATATCTCAAGGTGGGTGGCGCATTTCCGTTGTAAATGTCCATGGGCTCCAGTAACCATTTAACACCAGGTGGGCTGTGAGCTCGTCCACCCATCTAAGCAATAAAAAAATTATCTTATATCTTTAAATGAACAATTCTTGTATTGTATGACAATACTTATGACCTGACTAGTTATATATTATATAAAAACTTTTCTTTTAGAATGCTGGCCACAAAAAAGTTTATTGAATTCGAATTTCGAATTGTTCATGAAAATAAAAATGTATACTTTTAGAATTTTACTCATTTTTAAATATGGAGTGGACGCTTAAAGAAGACCGTGTTGCAGTTATTGCGTTGCATCGTTGCGGTTACGCGCCAATTCAAATTTTGAACACACTGAAAATTTTGAATATAACCAAAAGATTCGTTTATCGTACCATCAAACGATACAATGAAGACTCTAGTGTAGATGACAGGTCAAGAAGTGGTCGCCCTCGGTCTGTTAGGACTCCAGCAGTGATAAAAGCTGTGAAGGCGCGAATTCAAAGAAATCCCAAACGTAAGCAGAAACGGTTAGCCCTTCAGATGGGGTTAAGCAGAACCACGGTGAAAAGGGTGTTAAATGAAGACTTAGGGCTTCGGGCATATCGAAGAAAAACAGGACATCGTTTGAATGCTCGTCTAATGGACCTGAGACTGAAGAGATGCCGCGCTTTGTTGAAGCGGTACGCGGGAAAAAATATCGGGAAATTCTTTTTTCGGATGAAAAATTTTTTATCGTAGAAGAGAGCTACAACAAACAAAATGATAAGGTGTACGCACACAGTAGTGAAGAAGCGAGCAACCGTATTCCGCGTGTCCAACGAGGTCATTTTCCATCCTCGCTCATGGTATGGTTTGAGTTTCTTATTGGGGCTTAACAGAGGTACATTTTTGTGAGAAAGGTGTAAAAACGAATGCAGTTGTGTATCAAAATACAGTCCTGACGAACCTTGTGGAACCTGTTTCTCATACCATGTTCAATAACAGGCACTGGGTATTCCAACAAGATTCGGCGCCAGCTCATAGAGCGAAGAGCACACAAGACTGGCTGGCGGNTGCTGCGTGCGTGTCGCCAGTGCTGCTCGAAGTCTGCGGTGAGTCGAGACTGAGCTTGAATGCTGCGTGCGTGTCGCCAGTAGTCCATGTGTGCAGAGCTGCCACGCCGGAGATGTGTGACCCCAAGCGTTGATGATCCGGTCGTGGGCTGCGATGAACTGTTGCGGCGTGATGAGGCAGTGAAGTTGCGTGCCGTAGGACCAGGAAGCGCGGTGAGTCGGCTGCGATGGTCCTGTTGAGGCTGCGATGCTGGCTTGCTGTGGGACGACTGTCAATGACGTGCTTTTATCTGCGAGAATGCGGGGATTGTGGTAGCCGGAGTTCTTGATGCGCTGAAGATGAATCAGAAGATTGCGTGTTCAAATCACGTCGGGGTCACCAGCTCGGTAGACCGACGGTCCCCATGGTGTTGTTCGGAACTTATATATATGCGCTTTATCTTGAAAATGTCGTAAGCGAGATTCAGGCATCTGTCAATTATCTTGCGTTGTATGATGGCTACCCGCCACAGATGTATTTAGACGAATATAATCTGAGGAAAAATAATTTACTTCCGCTAGCTTTATTATCCGTGCTTAGTTCAAAATTATAAACGCTAAAGGATATATCTTCGCTTCTCTTCTCAAATATTATCAGTGTTTATTGTGGTAGAGATTTTTTGTTGTTTATTTCTTTTATTTGCATAGCTTTTAGCTAACCTAAAAAAATTATTAAATTTTTTAAATGATAAAGAACCTTTGTATTTATATGTTCGGATGATCGTGAAACATGAATTAGGAATTTCTAGTTCCGTATTAAAATAAATAATTTTAAGCAAACTGATGTTTGAGAGTATAAAATAGATTATAAAAGTTAGAAAATTCAAAGAGTAGTTTTTTTTTTTTTTTATAATTATTTATTACTGTTATTGAAAACTAGTTTTTACGGGTTCACGTATCGCGCTAGAATGATAGAATACGAATTACAATTGTTTTATTTTATTAATCTTCCGAATTCTCCGCACTGAAGCAACATGATACTGACTAAATGAAAAAAAAAAAATGAAATCTATACTATTAAATAAATCTACAGTGGTTTTTACAGATGTTCCGTTATAACTACTGAACCATGCATCCGATTGACTTGAAACTTGGTATTCATGTAGAAAATACACGTACTTAATGGATAGGCTTATATTTATATGAGTGTTGGAGACTCCCTTTTTTTTTTTTTTTTTTTAACGCTGGGGAATCCATTTACTGATACCCGGTCCGGGGGGGAACGAACCGGGTTATGTCGGACTCCGGCGCCTCCTGAGAGGAAGAGGGGGACGAGAAGGTCCTCCACCTCCCCGAATTCCCCGCAAGAGACTACGCCTTGAAAAAGGCGCGCGAAGCACTTGCCCCGCAGAACGACTACCGACTAAACCCCATCGAGCTCCACCACACCGGCTACACCAGACCTACGGTACCGCAGTGCGCGCCGAAAGTCCGCCTTCGCCGGTACCCGTCCTGATGATAAGACGGGATTTCATCTCCGGGTTGAGATATAAGGTTGGAGACTCCCTAATAATAATGACAATAAATAATATTGTTAATATTAATACGTGAAGCAAAAACTTTGTATCCCTTTTAACGAAAATTGCGCGGACGGAGGAGTATGAAATTTCCCACGGAATAGATAAATAAGGTTGGAAAGGCCTTTGCTCTAATTTTGTATTAGAACCAGTGTCGCCGCTTCATCCCCACTATTTTAATTTCTACACATACACACACTGTGATTACAAGTATTTCGCACACAACAAAAACACCCACACATAAATCTCAGGACAGATATTCGTTCGCAAACTAGCACAAAACACCCGTAGGCATACACACTCACACACGCAAAAAGGCAATAAAAATGTTCATACACGCTAGTGCTTGATAAAATCGATATTCTTTATCGATAAATTAT